TTATGGGTAAACTGCCGCCCTCTGGGTGAGGCCAAATTGCTAAGCCCCTCCGAGTCGGGCTGGTCCATTTAGGTGAGCCAGCCTGGGATTGAGTGCCAATACTTCCAAAATGATGGAATTTGTTACGGCTGGGTTCCGCAACTTTTGCGGAATTTGCAAGGTGGAAGTCTAGGTAAGACCCCTTCCTCCAGAACCACGCCCGCACGGCCTATGTAACATTTTAGCTACAGAGCTCGAGGTCACTCACTTGGAAATTCGATTGTTGCCCAGTTGTCTTCTTCATTCTTTGTCAAGCAACAAGGAGGAGCAGAACCGTTTTCATTTGAGTGACAGAGCAAGATGCCAGCACAACCCAATGGTCTGTCAGATGAACAGGAAGTTTTCCTGAAAATTTGTTTGGATCGTGTGGAGGCGGCCAGGAGACTAAAGACCAAAGGACTTAGTGACACTTATCTCCGGGAGTATCAACGATTTGTCATTTGGGTAATAAAGAATAACCGTATGCCGGACCCAATGCAGCGACCCTTTCGTTTTACCACAAGAGACAATGTGGATAAATATTACATCCACGACTTTACAAAGAGAGAATTTGGCACCCAAAATAGTCGCTCTCGGGTCCATCAAGCGATACAAAGGTTTTGGGATTCAGTAGAGTCTTCTTTTTTTAAAGATTTTGACACCCTATCACCTTTGATGGATGGCGAAGCTAAAAAATTCAGAGTAAAAGACAGTGAAGCAGTTGAAGCAAGTGTAATAGAGCAGCAGCGATATTACGATTCAATCAAAGAAGACAAGTTTGGAGGAACAGATCCTTTCAAAGGCCTGAAGGCCGACCTTCTTACTAGTACTGAAAAGATGAAGGTAATGACCTATATTCTAAATGATCGACCAGATTGGAAGGACATTGGTTGCTCTTTCAATTGGGGCTGCAATGCAGGTTTGAGAGGAGATTCCACGAGGTCTCTCTGTTTTAAAGATTTGTATATCAGCCATGGATTTGCTCCAGGACAAGGAAGGAATCTGACTGCCATCTTAAGGAAAGATGATCAAAAAAGTGACTTCACTACGGATCGCCTAGTTGGGGTCCTTCGGCATCGCCATTACTTGCTATGTGCCTCATTCATGACATCCATGAATGTAATTCGGATACTGCAATTACGTAGCAACGAGGTTCACTTCAAACGTCCGAACAAAAAGAGTCCAGCCGAATTCTGGCAAATTCCTTTTGTCGATTTTACGAAGCTTGCTGACGAAGAAAATGCCATGAGAGAGGTGAGTTTGACACGTCTTCTATAGTTGCTTTTTCTATGGTTGAAAACTAAGTTGCCTGCCACATCAAACCTTCTGGATGTCATTCTTAGATTTACGTCAAGACTGGTGTAGAGTCTTGCAAAGTGACCCATCACCGAACACATTGTGTAATGCATGCTAGTACTGAGGGTTTACAACAGTATCAAGTTTCAACCCTCACCAAGCACATGAACGACAAGCTAACAAAATCATACTGGGTAAGTTGGTTTTGGAAATGTTTGCCAAAAATGTTTTGAAATGGTTGTCAAATCAAACTGAACTGCATTGCTATTCAATTTTACCCGCTGGCATACTTTTAGGCTGAAATGGAACGAAGAACTATGACTGTGATGGCTGGATTTGACATGGATGAAGCCTACAATGTCCTACGAACGCAGATTGGATTGCCACTCGAAAGTATTGAAGCTTGTATCCGTGCACTGTTTGGGAATGATATCGATCGATGGAAAAGGGAGCAAGAGGCCCCAGATGGGGACAAGTCCACTTGTGCTCAAAAGTTCTTTTCCAGACTTTTACCATTTCTGGTCGAAGTTTTGGTCCAAGATGGAATCTACTTGATTATTGACCATCCACAACACGAGATGTCAATAATGCTGCATGTAAGTGTCGCAAGAGGAATCAGATTTTTCTAGTACCCTGTCTGTTGAGTTGGTACCACCAAGTATCCTAATGATGCCATTTAATTGTTATCAGAATAAAATTCCTGGATATGCTCAATGGGCTGCAATGAAACGACGTTGGGTCAAAAATGAGCTTCTGACTTTTGAGCCAAAGAAAATGGAAGCACTCAATTCAGCAACACAGAACGCTTTTCAGTCAATCATGCGGCAGGTGAAATACCTTGAAGATGCTGTTGTTGCAGGTGCAACTAAGAACCAGGCACTCACTGAACAAGTTGAAGCTCTACGACAAGAACTTAGAAACAGAAATCAAGAGTTCAATGCAGTACAGCAGAGACGAGATGATGCGATGAGGCACTTCATTGCTCAAGAATTACGCAATGTAGTAGGGAACCATCAAATTCAGAACCATGGTCCACCGACCGGTACTGGTGCGCCAAGTCAACAAGAGGTGCACACTAGAGCCGTTGGAAATGTTTCAGCAACTCAACCACTGCGGGAGACTGCAGAAATACTAGTTGCTCCCGAAACCCAACAGAGACCACCATCGCAACGCCAACAAGCTTTGCAACGATCTACTGCAGCTCCTACTGTTGTCCATCTCCAATCAATTCCACATCAACCAGCCTTAGGTAAGGCTTTCCCAAAGCTATGGTCGGGGATTTTGCAAAATTGGATCAATCTGAAGCTCGAGAAGTTCATCCATGTCCCAAAGAATGGACGGAATGGATGGAACAATGCAGAGAATGCCAAAAGGTTTCACAAGCACTACCGAGGATTCCTATGTATTCAGTCGGTTATGGAAGAAAATGAAACTGTCAAGGATCTCAAGGGGGCAGCCTTTTTTTTGGACGACGAGCGAAGAAGTTTGAAGTTAAATATGACTGAACATTTGCAGTTTAGATGTAAACGTAACCCAAGCATTCAAAGCAAAACAATGAAAAAGCAAGCACCCAAGTCCAATAATACAGGAAGAGGAACCAAGAGACCCAATGGTGATGGTGGTACTACAGTACAACATCCAAGAAATAAGCGTTCTCGGCCCAATAGCAATGGCAATGGCAGACCTCCCCTGCCCCCCTTCCACCCAGTGCAACCAATGCAACAACATCGTCAACAAAGAGTTGCCGGGCTGAATATGCATCAGCTCGCATATGGCTCCAAAGTTGTTGATATCGAGGCAAACAGGGGAATCAGAGGCGTCGCCCAAAGATATCAACAACGGACTATGGCCGTATCACAATTCACAAACTCAAGGAATTCTGCCTACCATACCACCAACCTGTTGGCAAGAAAGCCTGCTGCAATTCAAAGAAGAAGGATTCAATCGGCGATTGGCCCCGGGGGGAAACGAGCAAGGAATAATCTTCTTCAAGCTACAGTGGCTCCCATGGCAGATCAAAGGTTCCAAGAAGCTGTTGCTGGACTGACCCCTGATGAATATTTGGAACACGCTGATGCCATTCGTCAAAAGAAAGTAGCTATTGCAGCAAGCGTTCTTGCTGAGGTCAACAACAACAACAACAACAACTCCAGACTTGTTTGCCGCCAAAGCATCAATCCTGCCCATCTATGCCCCATTGAAGGGTGCAATGGAGATGTACCAGAAGGTGGTGGAAGCACCATGCCACCGATACACAAATGCTACAACATACGAAACTGCAACAAGAAGGTACATCATGTTTGCGCCGACAGGTCAGGGCTGCATGGACGGAATGAGATGAATGTGTATTGCTCAATAGAATGTAGAGAAATGAGACCGGACTGATGCAATGTAAACAATACGATCATACATAGATGAGTATTAATTTGTCAACAAAGTAGTAGTCTCCCTAGTTTTCCTCCGTACCTATACACTTCCACACAAAACAAGAAGTTTTTAAAGGTTCGGATGTTTTTCTGGAAGAGAGTTGGAAGATAGGGGCATGATCAGTTGGGCGATCTCTACTGAGATCCAAGAGTCAACGGACCACGAGGGCACTGGAAGACTCAGCCCAAATGAAAATAAACCTAGATGAATCTCAAATCAAAAAGGAAAATGCAAACAAGCCGTTGATTTCAATGATTTCACAAGGCTGATGGTACAAGCGATGTAAAAACTTATTCCTTCAAAGCATGAACATCTGCATTTCTTGTATGACTTGGACTTGGAGGAAGAGCGCTCCGATTGTAGCAACCTGGAGCGATATCATAAATATCATAATGATCAGAATCTGTTTGAAGGCACAACAGCAGAAGCTGGAGGCGAGACAATATGATTCGTCAACAAAACTCAACCTCCTCGCCTCAGATCATATCCCAGTATGAAGAATAACATGCAAACGAGGTAGTTGCGGTGAAGAGAAGTATGGATGATGCATTGGATTGAAGCACCGATGGATGGCTCACAAACACTCTTGATGGATGTAGCACTTGGTTTTCAGAGGCAAGGTGCTTTTGTGAAATTTCTTCAAAACCGCTTTTTTCAGTCCGTATGTTCCCATCCTTTATTTGGAAAAAAGCCTCAACTGAAGTTTTGTCCATGTGTTTTGTTTTGAAGCGCGTGGAGCCCATAAATGACAAGTGGAGATTTGTCCAGGTGTTTCAGTTGGAAAGTATGGTGCCATAAATATTAACTTTTGGTTCGTGGTCTTTGAGCCCCACGAGCTTAGCCAATGGAAAAACATCAAAATAGAATGTGTGGAGAAAGGATATTTTTTGAGACTTCACTATGAGAGTCAACCCCACGGTACCGGTACTCAGCACATTCCAAAACAACAAGAATCAGAACAACAAACAGCATAGAAATACAGTTTAACACTAAAAAGTAATAGTCATGGCTATTAGAAATATATGCTTGTATCAGCAATTAAATGTGGACTGCAGCTAGAGCAGTAGCCAAATCCATGTAGGAAACGCTCAAGCTAGTGAATCCGGTGTTGGATTGTACTTTTTCAGCAACGATCTTTCGAACAAGACGATCATTGGCATATACGCCCGCGTCCTCAAGTACATCCAGGATGAACTTGAGCATGTTATCCAAGTCTTTTGACATATCGGCAAGTCCAAACTGAACTTGGACCTCGACTCCTGGGAGGGTGAAAATTGGGTTTGCGGTGGAGGCGAGCCCAGTTTCTTGGAGCTCCTGTTTCATCTTTCTCGAAAAAAATGTCTTGGCCCGCGCAGCTGGGTTGTAAATGTAGGTCCGCGAAGCTCGGGTGACAGCAAATCTTGGGCGTGGTTGAGCAATGGGATCCCCAGAAATGAAAATCTGGAGAGAAACGCCTCTGGTCTCACCAACCCCCAGTACTGTAATGTTGCGGTTCCGCAATCCAGCGGCAGATCGCTTTCGCTGCGCACGAGTGTTGGGCATGGTGAAGTGGAGTGGATTGTGGTGGTTGATGTTGATGATCTGATACCAAAGTTGATTTTATGGCATCATCAGCAACAAAGGCGTCAGTATCTGACCTGGGTCTCAGTAGGATTTTACAGCCTGGGTTACAGTAGGACCTGACGGTGGTACACGACGCTTCATCCGGGACATCATTGTGGGAGTCGTTTGGGAGAGAGTTGGTATGATGTGGACTTAGCAAAAATTGGAAGTTGTGGTGTCGAGGTCTTGTGCAAAGAAAATGTGGTGCTCCGTAGGCCTTCGTAGAGATGTACCAGAGAGGAATTCTAGGTTCGATGTACCGGAGGGATGTGGAATCTCAACATACGACATGTCTACACATATTTATGTACTATATAGTATATGTTTTCACCTTCAAACGACTCTTTGATGCCTACTCGGATCCAGTCTCGTACAAACAAAAGTTCCTCGATCAGAATGCCTTTTTGGTATATTATACCAAAGGATTTGATGGACCGGGGCGGCCCAACATTGAAGAGGATGATAGCAATGAGAAGCAAACTCTGCAATTTGGCATCCGCAACGAAGCCTGGATCAATTGGGAAAACTTTTTGGTGGAACTCAAGTTTGTGGGTGAAGAAAAAGACACGGAAGCCACAAAGTATTTGGACGAAACCTTGAGATATGTGGATTATTACCTCAAATTAGCTCCACCACAAGATGTACGCGAGGCCAAAAAAGCAGTGGATCTATCTTGGTAAAAGCAGGTTCGATCTACAGTATTTTGTTTCTATTTCTTTTGTAGCTATTGTTTGTATGTGCAGTTTGTATAATATTGTGATTTCAGATCGATGATTGGCGACGATTGATTGATTCGTTCCATCTTTTAGAACCTCGTCATGTCCCGACCAAAGACAAAGCTCTTCATCCAATCAAAAGTGACCAGAACACGGTTTCGAGTGGCAACTTGCTTGACGAGATAGACGGATCGCCAAAGCAAAAAGGCAACGCTGCCAAAGTAGGAAAAGAGGGGGAAATCACCGAGTTGCACTTGACTCAATGCTGGAATGATTCAAAAAGAACGGGAGTGAGACATGTGAAACGAAAAAACAAAACGTAGCAACGATCCCAAAGTGTTTGCTCACCTTCTCCTCCACCCAAGTACGCCAAGATTCCAAGATTCAAAAAGATGAATCCAGGAGCTTGATCCAATCCTCTCAACTCCAACCAGGCTCGCATCTGTGGATCATTAAATACATCAATGGCCGTGGAATTGCTGTTCCCTGCTGTTGCCGGCAGCAACATGGGAGGTGTGGCCGACACATCGTAACCACGATCCAAGAGTCGTGCCAAAAAGGCACCCTGTTGTCCTGCCACTTGGGCCGTCTGTGGAAGGGGAGAATCGGCACTGGCACCAAATCCTTGATCGGCAAAGGCTGCGGCATCTCCAATGACATAGACGGACCCCGTCAAATCTTCGCTTGGCATGAGAGGTCGTAACCACTGGTCCACCTTGACACGGCCATCGCGGTTGCGGGCTTCGGGGGGCAGTTGTTCCAGCAAGGTTTCCACAAATGGAACGGGTGCTGTTCCAGCACACCAGGCGGTCAGTCCCAATGGCAAGGTGGATTCTTCCCCACCGACCACATTGCCGTCCGCATCAAAGACCTTGGTTTTCAATTTGGCAAAGCCATCTCCTACTTCAGTGACTCGAGTATTCATCAAGACTTCGGCACCCTTGGCTTCGAGTGACTTTTTGGCTTCCTCTCGCAGTTTGGGTTCAAATTGCGGCACCAAATCGGAACCTCCCTGGGCAATGACTACGCGAATGGAATCCTTCAAGTGTGGATAGGATCCCTTGAACTTGGTGACGTCGGCTGCCAAATCCAAAATCTCACCTGCCAATTCGACACCAGTGGGTCCACCGCCCACAATCAAAAAGGTGACTCGGCGAGTTCGTTCTTCTGGAGCTACATCTGGGCGAGAGGCAAATTCCAAGCATTCGGCAATGTCTCGTCGCAAAATGCGAGCATCGTCCAAGGTTTTCAGGCGCAAGGCCTTGTCAGCTCCTGGCACTCCCCAATCATTAATCTTGCAGCCGACTGAGCATACCAGGTAGTCATAGGGGACCTCCAATGTTGGCGGATCGCCATGTGTCACATCTCCCAAGAGCGAATTCATTTGGACTTGAACCGTCTTCTTACGAACGTCCACACCAACTGCCGAACCTTGCAAATAGTCGTCCATTAATGGATTGGCCGACCGAACGGCTTCGGTCATGCTTCGGTACTCGACCGTTCCAACGGCCGAAGATGCCAACATGGGTGTAAAGACAAAGTGATTGACGGGAGAGACTACAATCAAGCGCAGCTTTTGGCAGTCGGCCACTTTCATTAATGCATGGGCGCCCCAACCACTTCCCAAGACGACGACCGTCTTGCGGGATTCTTCTTGTTCTTTGGTCAGGATCATCTTGCCATTTTCATATCCCTTTCGGCGGACGTGCGTGGCCACATCTTCCAAAGTGTCACCCAGTCGTTCCACGACCACATCCATGGGGATTCCTTCGGGATAAAAGTCATCAGAGGAATCCAAATGTTGGGCGTGCAACCATGTCTGAAGTTTTCGTTCGGATGAGATGACATTCATGGTCTTATCTCGGTAAGGATGCTTGCTGTCAGTGATCTTGACTTGATCCAAGTTACTCTCGATATCTTGTTCTTCTTGTTCTTTGTCTTCTTGTTCTTCGTCTAGAACAGCATCTACCACATCTTGGGAAGCGACACTGTTGAATTGAACGTAGAGTTCGTCCGCTTCTAGTGACGGATCATCGGTTGGAGGCTTGTCTTTTGCAGCAGCAGTTTCCGTGCTATTATTGGCATAGAACAGTTGCGGCGTTTGGCGTATCTTTGGTGTCATGTCCATCATACTGCTTCTTCTGGTGGCCATCCTCACAATTGGTGTGAAGCCAAATGAGGATGCCAATAATAGCAAGAGCGCTATGGATGTCTTGAGCATTATGAAAATATATCTATTTTGTTTCTCAATCGAATGAATTTATGACAATCTTATCGGAGGTTTTAGAATCATAATGACAATAGGCTCTATTTTTTCATGGGACTCAACTGCGTGCTTGATGCGATTTGTCCGTGATGATGCGAAGCCGATTTTTGACAAAATGGTTTCTGGTCCGAACATGACGGTCCAATGAGTCAGACCAGAACGAGATAACGTACTGTACAGTATGCATGTGGTAGTAATTAGAGGTTTCTTTGGAGTAAGCTCTGTTTCTTTTCTTTTGTATGTGCAATATATATAATATGATTCATCCCATTAGAATCTTGTCATATCTCGTCCAAAGACATTGCTTTTCATCCAATCAAAGGTGACCAGGACGCGGTTTCGAGTAGCGACTTGCTTCACAAGATAGACGGATCGCCAGAGCAAAAAGGCAACGCTGCCAAAGTAGGAAAAGAGGGGATAGTCACCCAATTGAACTTGGCTCAAAGCTAGTACAAGGGCGCAAAAGGGATGGATGTGAGTGAAGCAAGCAAACAAAACGCAGCAACAGTCCCCGTCATGAATAGTCGTGTCGGCTCACCTTCACCTCCACCAGTATAGGCCAAGATTCCAAGATTCAAAAAGATGAATCCAGGGGCTTGATCCAATCCTCTCAACTCCAACCAGGCCCGCATCTGAGGATCATTAAATACATCTATTGCAGTTGTGGAATTGCTGCTCTTTGCAGCTGCCGGCAATAACATGGGAGGGGTGGCGGCTACATCGTAGCCACGATCCAAGAGTCGTGCCAAAAAGGCACCTTGTTGTCCAGCCACTTGGGCGGTCTGTGGGAGGGGGAAATCTGCAGTGGCACCAAATCCTTGGTCGGCAAAGGCTGCAGCATCTCCAATGACATAGACGGACCCAGTTAGATCTTCGCTTGGCATGAGAGGTCTCAACCATTTGTCCACCTTGATACGACCATCGCGATTGCGGGCTTCGGGGGGCAATTGTTCCAGCAAGGTTTCCACAAATGGAACGGGTGCTGTTCCAGCACACCAGGCGGTCAGTCCCAATGGCAGTGTGGATTCTTTAGCGCCAACAACCTTGCCGTCTTCATCCAACACGTTGGTCTTGAGGTTGGCAAAGCCATCTCCTACCTCGGTGACAAATGTATTCAAGAGGACTTCGGCGCCCTTGGCTTCGAGTGACTTTTTGGCTTCTTCTCGTAGTTTGGGTTCAAACTGAGGAACCAAATCGGAACCTCCTTGGGCAATCACCACACGGATGTTTTCCTTCAGATGGGGATAGGATGCGTGAAACTTGGTGACGTCTGCTTTCAAGTCCAAAATCTCACCCGCCAATTCGACGCCTGTGGGCCCACCTCCCACAATCAAGAAGGTGACGCGTCGTGTTCGTTCAGCGGTGTGTTCATCACCTGCCACATCGGGCCGAGAAGCAAATTCCAAGCATTCGGAAATGTCTCTGCGCAAAATGCGGGCATCGTCCAAAGTCTTGAGTCTCAAGGCCTTGTCGGCTCCCTTGATTCCCCAATCATTAATCTTGCAACCAACCGAACACACCAAGTAGTCATAGGGGACCTCGAATGTGGGAGGATCTCCATGGGTCACATCTTCCAGCAAGGAATTCAGTTGAACTTGAACTGTCTTTTTGTGGACGTCCACTCCCACAGCGGAACCTTGCAAATAGTCGTCAATCATGGGATTGGCGGAACGGACGGCTTCTGTCATGCTTCGGTACTCAATCGTGCCCACGGCCGACGAGGCCAACATGGGTGTAAAGACAAAGTGATTGACTGGAGAGACCACCACGAGGCGTAGCTTTCGGCAGTCGGCCACCTTCATGAGAGCGTGAGCACCCCAACCACTGCCCAAGACGACGACCGTCTTGCGGGAGTCTTCCTGGTCTTTGGTGAGGCTCATCTTGCCAGATTCGCACCCCTTTCTTCGGGCATGTGTGGCAACATCTTCCAAAGTATCCCCAATTCGTTCCATGACGACATCCATAGGAAGTCCCTCAGGATAAAAGTCATTGGAGGAATCCAAATGTTGGGTGTGCAACCAAGTCTTGAGTTTTCGTTCGGATGAGATGACATTCATGGTCTTATCTCGGTAGGGATGCTTGTTGTCGGTAGTTTTGACCTGATCTTCGAAGTAATCATCCTTGGAACCTTGTGTGACACTGTTGAAATGAGCAAATAGTTCCGGAGATTGCTTTTCTTCTTTAACAGTTTCACTTTCAGTGGTATCGGCGTAGAACAATGGCGTGTTAGTATTGTCACGATTTTGCTTCTTTGGTGCCATGATCATGTCGATCATGCTGCTGCTACTGCTTTTGGCTGTCATCCTCACTACTGGTGCGAAGGCAAGTGAGGTCTTGGATGCCAACAATAGCAATACTGCTATGATTATTTGGAGCATATTGATATTTTTATCTGTTTTTTTGGTTTTCAATCGTTTGATTTTGTGAGCATTTCATGAAGGTTGCTTTCTTGGAACATCGCGTGTGGGCTTCATTTTTGATGGGACTGATCATGTATAAATGCGATTTGTCCGAGGTTCTAATCCGAATTCCAACACGTCCAATTCCTGCTTGAATGATATGCAGGTCTGATGAGTCAGCCCACAACCAGAACCCGGGTGGAAGAGGAATGGTACGTACCCAAGTTTCTACCCAAGAACGTTCTAATCCCACTAACCTACAAGAGCCCCTAGATTGCGCTTCACTTCACTCTAGTGCGTGTTGGATATGAAAGTGCAAATTGAAAATATGCAGTGGTGACGCCATCGACCGTTGCACCATTATCACCCCTCTGGCTGACCAGTACCTACTAGATGCTGCATTAAAAAGAAGCTGCCAAAGAAGAAACCCTCGTGGAAGAGCAAAGGGCTATTTTAAAACATATTTACATTGTTTAGATGTCAACTACTAGGGAGTTTAAAACTGAATAGGTCTTGTTACGCATTTGGACCCCAAGGATCCCAAGGCTATTGAGCATAGCTTCCTCTGGTTTGGTCCAACGCTCTTGACGAGTCATTGATAGTCTTCATGATACTTTCTAGCTTCCGTAGTCAATGGTCCTCCTCCATATCCACGACAACCATCCTTTCCTATGGTCCACATCACAATGCTGTTGCGCATTCTACTTTTAATTGGCAGAGCGGCATGCATGGTCCGACCCAAATGCATGATGGCCTTTCCAGGTGACCAATCGACCGTGTCTCGTGTACCACAATTCAAGGATTCCAAAAAGTAGAGGTTGGATCCAGTCCATCGTTGTTCCGCATCCAATATTGGTGTAGTGGCGAACGCATTCACCTCCTCCCACTTGATTCATCATCGCAAAGAAGCACTCTCACTCTCCGTCTAGTCACGGATCCTTCAATTCTTCTAAATTGGACCACCAAACCGACGTTCCAGTTCGTCGTCAATGGCCGCCAACAAAAATTGAGAATTGTGAATGTCGGACATGGCCGAGTAGGCCAAGGCGGTCTCGGCCAGATGATAAGGTGTAAATTCAGTTAGCATTTCCAAAGAAACCTTGGCCATTTCATTCATCAAGACTGGTTGGACATATCCCATGAGACTAAAGGCCGTCGCAAGGTTGGAAACATCCTGGGTGTTCAATTCGTCAATCTTTTTCATGGAAGCTTCCGCTATTTGGTCAAAGAGACCCGGTTGGTGGTGTTGGACTTTGGCATAGGACATGGCCGTATTGGCCAGTTCCTGGGTATTAAAGGTATGCATCATGAGAATGGCCACTCGGGCAGTCTCTTCAAACAGTGCCGTATGATAATAACCAGCATTCGAAAAGGCATTGACCGTATTGGCCACATCCTGCGCATTGAAATCCTTCATTCTTGTCAACGCCATGTCAGCAACGGCTTGAAACAATTCCACATCGTCATGCTCATTCTTGGAAAAGGCTTGGACCATATTGGCAAGGTTCTGCGTCGTAAAGGAACCAAGAGTGGGAACGGCTGCTTTTCCAACCGCCTCGAATAGTTTTGGATGGAGATGCCCAACTTTGGCAAAGGCATGGACGGTAATGGCCAACTCTTGTGGTTTGAAGGTATCAATTAAAGGCAACGCAGCCTCCGCCACAGCATCAAAGAGTTCGGTATGATTGTGTTCCATTTTAGCAAAGGCATTGACCGTATTGGCCAAACCTTGGGCATTAAAATTGTGAATTATGGAAATGGAAGCTTGCGCCATTCCATCAAAGAGATCGGGATGTTTTTGTCCGCTCTTGGCAAAAGCATTGGCCGTGTTGGCAATTCCTTGGGCCGAAAATCGAGGCAGGATCGGAATGGCTATGGTTGCTACCCGGGTAAAAACCGGCTCGTGCCAGTGTTCCATTCTCGCAAAGGCATTCATCATTTGGGCAATGTCCAATGGATTGAATTCGTCCAAGATTTCCACGGCCAAATCTCCAGCCGTGTTAAAGACCTTGCGATTGTTGATATTCCGTCTAGCCAAGGCATTCAACATCATGGAAATATCTCTGGCTTCAAAGAGATGAAACTTTTGGAGCGAGAGCTCTGCCAAATTGGACATGAGAGTGCCATGGACCGATTTGGACGATTTGGGAACTCTCGACTTGGAAAGAACATTCAGCAAGCCCGAGATATCCCGACTTCCCATCCCCGGCTTTAATTCGACCAGCTTTTCCACGAGGGCCTTAATGGCGTAGTTGGAATGAAACAGAAAGTTGGAATTCCGAATGACATCTCCGAGACTCCGGCAGTCTTGTGAATCTTCAATCAACTTGATGAGTTCCTGTTGCGCCTGTAGATTGTGACGGCAATTTTGGAAATCTTTGCTATTATGGCTTCGTGGCCGTGGTTCAATCTTGATGTGATAGGCTGGTGTTGTTTTCCTACTATCAAACTCTGGAACAAATGCGGTTGGACGTGGGACACATTGCGAGGAGAGAGCTGATGCTTTTGGAAGTCGACACAAGAATACTTGAAGAATTATAACGACTGAAAACAGGAGCGTTTTGGAGGAGCCTGCCTTTATCATGATTGTCAATTCTCTTCAGTTGTGTGTTCCTAATATTCAGCGACGAGTTTGGTCGCGGCGTTATTGTAGCTGCAATAAGAGGACTTCGGTAGCTTATGTGTCTTGCTTGCTATGAAGTAACTACGTGACTGTGTGATGTGAATCAAAAGTTGATTAAATCAGTAGCAGGAGTTTATGATGTTGTGATGACTATCTCTTTATTTCTTGTTCATGGTTCGTTTTCATCGGCAGTTTTGATGGATGCGATGATGTGTTTTGATTTGGTGAGCTGGTGAGACGCGCGAAGCACAGACGCTGCTGACGAATTTGTGATTTCAAATGCTATATGCAGTATTGCCCTGCTGGCATTATATTTTCGTATGCGGTGCATGATGATGAACGAGTGATGTACCGGTATCCAACGTCTTTAGTGCTTGTCTGTACAATATTCACTGCTTTGCTTTTCATAGGCAGAAGTGACGATCAAAAATTGCGATATGGCGTAGATGTTGTAAGTACAATTAGAGCTTCAGATGTAGTAGAAAGATGCCTGAATCAATAAACAATACTAACAAGTCGTCTTCTATTCGCTGATATCCATAAAATCAGTCTTACCCGATGCATGGCTATCGAGTGACAACCAATTATGACTGGCTACCGTGGAATATAGATTCTTCGATACCTGTGCCTGAAGACTACACGGATATGCCTCTGCAACCGTTAGGAGACAAGCAAGCATTCTATGAAAACCACAGTAAGTAGTTATGTTGACAATTGATTTGTTTGCAACTATCATGTTCTTGAATTCAATTTTGAAGGACTCACTTATCACTTTTTCTTTCTCCCGTTCCTTAGTGCAAGGATGTCGTGAAAGTATGAAAGCTAAAGGTAGATCCTGTAAAAGTTATGAAAATGCAAGAATTGATCGATGTGTTCGGCAGCCAAGAGGTGTCCACAATTACACCAAGATTGGGTATCACAAAATGCGAGCTCCCGAGGGACTTTTTCAAATCATCAAAACCTTTTGGGAGACGAACAAAGATAAGGAAGTGATTGAAACTTGGGATAGTGGTGACATTGCCGTCAATCATTGGGAGTCGCCGACGTACCGAGTCCCACTGGAGGACACTTCAATGGAAGGAGGAGGACCAATCTTGATGCAACAAGTATATGATGGCATCCGTGATATCATGAGTGAATGGACAGGCCAATATCAAGTTCCAAATAGTGTCTATGGAATCCGAATCTACAAACAAGGTGCTGTCTTGGCTCCTCACGTCGATCGATTGCCTTTGGTCAGTTCGGCGATTATCAATGTGGATCAAGATCTCGACGAACCGTGGCCACTGGAAGTCATTGGGCACGATGGATTGGCAACCAATATTACCATGGAACCAGGGGATCTGGTTTTGTACGAGTCACATTCTATCATTCATGGCGTAAGTCGATGGTCAGAGTCTGATGTGACGTCCGTCCGATTGGATTTTTCTTCTTCCATTCCTGGCTAACTTCACCCCATTCGTTTCGCGAACCAGCGTCAATTTCCATTGAAAGGAAGTTACATGGCCAATCTATTCATACATTTTGAACCGATTGGTCCGATCGGCACGGAAGTAAATCCCAACTTGGATCTTCCAATCTACATTGTAAAAGGTTCCGAGATCGAGATTCAGTGGCAACTCCTGAACCGAGGTATTGTCTACAATATATTTGATAACAACCGAGTACCAACTAGCAAGATTCACGAAAAAGCCCGACAGGGGAATACCAAAGGGGTGACGCGGATCCTGGACCAAGCCCATGAAAGTGTCTTCTTTCGTGATATAAATGGACGGACGCCTCTGCACGAGGCCGTGCAAAGTGGAAATGTCAACACAATAAGCGTCATTTTGTCACATGCTAAAAAGGAAAAAGGCTACATCAATCAACGAACGAAACAGCTGGGCAAGGTCGGGGCTGGGGGTAGTGCACTTTATTATGCTGTGAAGTTTCATGGATTTGGCCATCCAATGGTGGAACTCTTGAAACAGAACGGTGCGAAATCAATTCCACCAGAGTCGACATTGAGTTCAGAGCTTTGAACGCAGCAGCACCTGGGAACTACCGGCAATGTTCAATGTTCAATGTTCAACGTGAATGAAGAAATGAGATACCATTCGAATTTTTGGAGCGTTGCAATATAACGGCTTGCCGAACAGTCAACCCGAATCCCAATGCCAAATCCGAACTTTTTCATTTTTTCCAACGGCATTTCCTGGCATGTTTTTGCACGATTATTTTTATGGCGATAAAATCTACATGATTTGTGGTAGGGTTATTGTGCGCGATAAAGATACCGTCGCCGAGATTCGCATTTGTGGTTGCTCTATTCAAACATCCATCACACACAAATTGAAAGCACAAGAATCAATCCATCCTACCGCATTCTTCTTTTCCATTAGAATATTTCGCCATGATCCATCGACGAGCCATCAACCCCGTTAGTTCTTCCACCGCGCCGTCAGCAGGAGGCTCTACCCGATACGTATTATCGCATCAAGTAAACAATCGACGCCGTCGCAAAGCTTTCCGCCGACGAATACACAACTTTTTGGAAAGCAAACAAGAAGTAATTGCTCTACTGGTACAATTGCTTTCCTATTTCATCCTGATATCCTGCGGAGTTGTTCTTGCCGCCAAAGTGTTGTTAGGTGTCAATTTCTTGAGCGAAAGCGATGGGTCTTTGGGCGGTTCTCCTCGAATGTACCACCACAGCATGTGGTCCATGGACGACCAAGTTCACAAGAAATTCAAGAACAATCGAGAGCGTATTGCAGCCTTATTTGATCCGTTGCCAGCTTCTAATATCTATGAAATCCCCGATGCCATGCCACATATTGGAGACAAGCGTGATGACTATGCGCTCTTGAGACAAGAGTTCGACGACATGGTCCTTCCAGATATTGAACAACCATACGAATTCGAATCCGTGGCGATGGAAGAAGACACCGTTACCAATGATCAAGTCAGCTACGACATTTACAATTGTCCAGACTCTCCTCCTATGGGTTATCCCTTTGAATGGCACATTAAGGATATCATTGCATCCTGGCCTCCAGATGACCCAAACCCAAGACCAAAGATTTTCAACGGATTGTGCGTCTTTGATTTCGTGAAGGACCACGCCAAGGCCATGCGCTACCGCAATGCCGAGCTACCCTTTGTAGTAAAGAATGATCCAGAGATCATGGCCGCGTCAAAACGTTGGAATGCACCCGGCTACATGGAACGAATGTTGGGTGATGTCAAGCATCGAACCGAATACTCCGAGAACAACCATTTCATGTACTGGACCAATGTGCAAAAAAGGAGAGACCGAAAAGGCAAACCACGTGGCAAGCAGGATCTCACACCCGAAGATTGGAAGCAGCCAACGAAACCAATGCGGATGGCATATGCCGATTGGTTAGAGCATGCCAATGTCACTGATATGGATTTGGGTCCGGACAAGCCACATTGGTACTATCGACTGATTGGGTGCGGAGAAACTGGTCCAGAAGGACAATGTGACAAGGGATCCTCCGAATATTTGTTTGACGAACTGCCATTCTTCCAACCAAAACCGTCGCTCTACATTGTGGAGCCGGAAAAGCAAAAGGGCATTCATTGCCGTTTTGGAATGAAGGGAGTGATTGCGGAGAATCATTTTGATGGATCCCGGAATGCCATTGCCGTCTTGGGTGGCGAGCGACGATACATTTTGGCCCACCCCAACCAATGTGAGAATCTGGCCATTTTGCCAAAGGGCCATCCCTCGGCTCGGCACAGCGAAGTGGATTGGTCGGATCCAGACTATGAAAAGTTTCCAAAATTCAAAGAGGCCAGGGGCAACGAAGTAGTCTTGCAAGCCGGAGACGCCATGTACCTACCGACGAATTGGTTTCATTACATTATCAGTATGAGTCTGAATTATCAATGCAACACACGATCTGGAATCGAGCAGACGTATATGCCACCGATTCACGCTTGTGGATTTTGAGTATCATGACCCTAACTGTATATAGCTACTAGTAAAAGTAATATGGCAAAATAGAAGAAGAAACAAGACACTACTTACTTACTTACTTACCTATTAGTGTACATTCGTTATTCGACATGAACAGCGCAGGTGCCGATTTGAATTATTTTGATTTATTTCTAGAATGACTCGTGACTCGACTCATTGGACTTTTCTTTTTGAACGTTCAAAAAGCTACCAAGCCGACCAATGCGATTAATCGCAGGCATGTTGGATGGCTCGATTTGAAACGAAAGATGATCATCATCCACAACAGAAATTTTGAAACGGCAGAGGTGATTGAAATAAAGGAGATTTATTACTTCCGAGTCTCATACCGGTACATCCTAGAGCTCAATTCTTTTGCAGCATTGACGTCCGTTGATAAGCTTGAGCGTCGCGAAAGAATCTCAATTCAGCAGTCAAGTCACTCAGAAAAAAGACTTCATTTCAGCATTGCAAAAACTATAGTCAACTTGACACTTCGGCCAGATCGATTGATTCACTGAAGACCCAGACCTTGTCGTTGCCATCTTTACAATACTACGAGCGGCGAATTAATCCATACGCTTCAGCAAGGACCGAAAATACCCAAGAAGTCATTTAGAAAGACAAACACAAGAACCCAAAAACTATTGTCAACTAACTTTCTTTTTCGTTCCAAAACATATAAGAATGCATCGAAGAACCGCCATTCCTTCTGGTTCGGCACCATCCTCTGGTGGAGTATCATCATCATCATCGCTCCCCGGAAAACCGACTAGACGCCGCCGCCGAAACCAACAAAGTCTCTTTCGCCGACATCAACAAGAAACTGTTATGCTGTTGATCCAAACTCTTTCGATTCTCATTCTAATGTCCTGTGGCTTTGTGCTCGCACTAAAGGTCCTATTTGGTTACAATATAATGGCCAGTCGTATTCCTAGCTACGGCAGCAGCAGCAGTGAACAACACTTGGGACAAAGGGTCTTTGCCAGCAACGAAGAACGCATTGCGCACGATTTTGTTCCATTGGTACCTTCTCGGGTGTACGCCATTCCGGAAAGCATGCCTCACATTGGTGACAAGTCGGATGACTATGCCACCTTGCGCAAAGAATTTGATTCCCTGCCATTGCCAGAGATTCCGCAGCGATTCAATTTTGACACCATGGTCATGGAGCACTCCAACAGCGATCAAGTTGGCTACGACATTTACGATTGTCCGGCCACTCCGCCACCGGGATATCCGTTTGATTGGAACATGTTGCAGATTCTAGAGAGTTGGCCACCAGATGATCCTGCTCCCAGAGCCAAGATTTTTCAAGGATTGTGTGTCTTTGATTTTACCAAGGACCATGACAAGGCCATGAACTATCGAACGGCCGAAGTACCCTTTGTGGTAGTCAATGATCCAGAAGTTAAGGCTGCTGTCAAACGATGGAACGCTCCCAATTACATGGAACGCATGTTGGGTGGTGTCAAGCATCGAACGGAATACTCGGAGAACAATCATTTCATGTACTGGCAACCACCTCGCAAAATTATGAAAAAGAACAAGCAGGGCAAGCGACACTTCCAGTTTGCCAAGGGTCAAGATCCAATACCCAAGGACTGGCAGGAACCCACCAAAATGATGCGCATGGCATATTTGCAATGGTTGGAGCACGCCAATGTGACCGACCTGGAATTGGGCCCTGACAAGCCGCATTGGTATTATCGATTGATTGGTTGTGGCGAAACTGGCACCAAGGGTGAATGCGACAACGGATCCTCCGAATATCTATTTGATGAACTGCCCTTTTTCCAACCCAAACCGGGATTGTATATGGTCGAACACGACAAACAAAAGGGCATCCATTGTCGATTTGGTATGAAGGGTGTCATTGCCGAGAATCATTTTGATGGATCCCGGAATTCCATTGTGGTCTTGGGAGGAGAACGTCGCTACATTTTGGCCCATCCCAATCAATGTCAAAATTTGGCCTTATTGCCAAAGGGGCATCCATCGGCCCGGCACTCGGCAGTGGATTGGTCCGATCCCGATTTGGAAACCTATCCACAGTTCCAAGAGGCACGAGGCAACGAAGTTGTCCTGCAAGCGGGGGACGTCCTATATTTGCCCACAAATTGGTTCCACTACATTATCAGTCTCAGTCTCAACTTTCAATGCAATACGCGGTCGGGAATTGATGACAGGTACATGAAACCAATCCATGAGTGTGGCTTTTAGACTAGAGGAGAAGCGGGGAGAATGGAAGACACTGCCGCTGACGTGGGGAGAACAAAGAATGAATGATTATGATAGTACGGAATTGTAAATGCACATCACTTCTTTAAAATAATAGTATCCTTCTAGTTCAAGGCCGCCATATTATCAGACAGGAAAGTCACTAGCTGTTCCGATGGTGGTGACTATTCCGGCGGCATCGATCCGACCTGCGCCGACTGCTTTGCGATGATTTGAATTATTGGTGTCAGATTGCTGCTCGTCAAAATACCACATGTTTCCTAGTTGAAGCCAGTCTTCAATGCTACTAGAATCACGGCTCGACAACTTTGCTTTTGCAATCACTTTGCTTTTGGAACATAGGTCAATGCTTCCATCCTTGCTATCGATCCATTTGACAGAAGAAAAAGACGAACCAGCATTGGGATAGTGCGTAATGCTTCCATCGTTGTAGACCACAACGTATCGATGGTTCCAAAGAAAAGGAGGCCGGTGGCTTTGAATACGTAACCAGCCTCTGTAAACAATCACATGGGTGGATCCCTGCAATGTCCCTTGCTTTATAATAGTAAAGTCAATCTTTCCTTCCAACTTTGTCAATTTCGAACTCACGTTTTCCAACTCTTCCAACTTTGTAAGCTTCGAACCCATGTCTTCCAGCTTCGATATCTTTGAACTAAAGTCTTCAAATTTTGCTAACTTCGAACTAACATCATCCAGCTTGTCTTCCAAGGAGCGTGCAATTATTGCACTGTCAGCGCTTGTCACCAAGAGTTCCTTCCTTTCTTCTTCTTCATGCTGTACAGTCATATCCTTTTTGGGGTAGTTTGTTGATGGTGTGGCGGATACTTCAGTCTCAGGATTCGTTCCAACGTGCCCAGTAAGAGAGGTTGCATTATCAGTATCTTCTTTTCCATTTCGAGCATTTGCATGCAATATAGCATTTTCCTTTTCCCTCTTTTCCATTGGCATCTCCAAGCATTCCGATCCAAACGTTTCAAATAGTGGCTTCATTTCTGGATGCACATACTCATATTCCGTCCCATCCTTACTCACAGCCATTGTTAGACCGCAACATTCGAATCTTTCGTCATTGATGAAGGAACCAATGCCTTCATACGACTTTTGAATTCTGTCTAGATGGTTCTCTGTCATGGCTGGTCCTTCAGCCGAGGCAGCGCTATCGATTCGATCCGTAAATTGTTCCAGCAACATCTCGGCAAGTCCATCCTCTTCGTCATCGCCTCCCATTCCATTCACCACCAAACTTTGCATTTCAGCAAACAGATTAGAAGTCTCCCTCAATTCTTCTTCAGCCCCACTCAACGATGGAAGGGGGAGGCCGAATCCGCGGCCCACTGCCAGGCCTACTTGGACAATCTTTAGTCCGATGAGAATAGCAGGGCCATATTTTTTGATCCATTCCCGAGGCATCTCAACATCATAGGAAATGACTTCACCATCCGTTCCCAGGACTGGTTGTAGTGATATTGGACAGATGAAACATAGCCTTGCCTTGGTCTTGACAACACTGCTAACGTTCTTCATCGTTGATAGAAAGCGACGAGAGAAACCCTTGTCGTCATTGGCTTCCTCAGCAGCTGGGAGAATCACAAAATACTTTGGTTGTGACTTTTCTCCTTTGAAGATTGCTTGCAAAATATTGTTAGCTGCTTGTTGATAGCTGAGGACAAGCTTTAGTGATTCATGGATCTGTTCAAATGACTTGTGGATTTGTGCAAAATTGACTTTCATAATTTCTTGATTCTTCAAGACGATAGCTCGGTTCTCCATAACACTTTCCTCAAGTCGCGCCAAAGCTTCCGTTTCTGATCTTACATCATCAGGTTTGAAGTAGGGGTGCTCAAGCACGTCTTGCATCTTCAACCGATCTGTTGGCTTGCGGAGAAGAATCTTCTCCAACAAGTCACGAGCATAGGAATCCAATACTTTACGTTTCAATTTCCTCTTCATATCCTGATCAGTCCAGTCGTGTAGCTCTCTCATCACGTCACCATCTGTGATATCGTTCTCATTGTTCACCTTGAACAAGGACTCCTTTGTCACAAGCTCGTACAGCAACACACCAAATGACCAGACATCAAAACTCTCATCAGCTGATACCAGCTTGTACGGCAGTTCATCCTTTTTAGTTGGCACCAACCTTTCCTCGATCTGTTCCTTTTCATCGAACTGATCCCATGTTTTCACTTCTTGCATCTCCTCCGAAAAAGAACGAACCACGAAGTGTCGTTCATTATTATGTCCTGTTGTGGTCAAAACTTTCGTCTTATTCTTCTCGTCGTCACTTGTTGCCCCTTGCTGCACATAATTCACATACACATTCAGCTCCTTTCGAGTTTTCAGCTCATATATCATCTCCGGGGGAAGAACACCAGAAGAGAACTTCGATCCGATGTACTCACCAACTTTTCTGGATGCATCCAAATCGATCAACAAAAGCCGATGATTTGATCTCACCGCATTCAACATTTTTATGTCACCATGGACAATTCCCTTCTCATGTAAATGCAATAATGCCTCTCCGATTTCTCCCATCAAGTTGCGGACAGCAACTGGTCCAGGCCGCTCACTTCGAAAGATTGTGTCCAAATTCCGATCTCCGTATGGCATGACTAATACGCTGCTGTAGCCCTCTGTTGAGATATCATCCTTCTCAAGAAACGACTTATCAACACCATCTTCTTGCAGGATTGAGTCCTTGAGTGACTGGGCCAATCCAGAATCGCTCTTTTCGTCGTGGCTTCCAATACTGCCAATGACATATTTTGAATCCAGACCATTAGTTTTGCGACAGTCAACTTCTCGGCGAAACTGATCCTTGTTCCGCATAAACTTTAGTACCACATTGCCACCTATTTCGGCCATGCAAAAGTCCACAAACTCTTTTTTCGAGATCAATCCGGTTTTGTCGACATCTGCCCGTTTGAACAAATGGTTAATATTTTTGTCATCGTGTGGAATGAGCTCCATCTTGCTCAATATGTCCGTGAACGTTTCCTCATTCAATTCTTTTCCTTCATACGCTTTGTACTTCTCTTGAAAGTACTCCACCATCTTTGCATCCTTAGCCTTGACCACAACACAAGTTGCTGACTGATGAATGGGTGGACCCTTTTCAATATCATAGCGACCGAGAAAGAACAGTCGTTCTTCAAACACTTTTTGGATATTTCTGGGTGCCACCGACTTCGCAACACGTCCTGATTGATCTTTGGTATCTGCAAGCTGCCGGACTTTTTTCACAGTTGCCTCCTTTTTCAGATAGTCGCACAACTTCCTCATTTCTGGGTCGATTTCGTCACCTGCATCACTGTCCGCCAGGAATCGAACCCAACCATTGCGTTCGGGAATCGAAAGTAACTGCCGTTTTTCTTCAACAATCGATCCAATATAATCTGCCCTGATCGTATCAAGAATTGTTGCCTCTTCGCCAAAATTCTCCACCAACTCGGATTTCTTTATTGGATTGAAGGCAAAAAGATGCAAGACGTTATCCAAATTAATCAAACGCTTTACATCTTCCTCGAGTTGGGTGTACAATCGGATGTGGATAGCTGGGTTCAGACTAGAAATTTCCAAAGATTCAAGACTGTGACATTCTTTGAGGACATCTTTCCCAAGAACAGTCACTTTGGAAGGCACAGAGAGTTCCTCAAGTTTAGTACAACCGCAAAAAGCCCCGTCTTCGATCGTTTCCAAAGCTAACGCCTTGCTCAAATCCACTTCCTTTAGACTCCCACATTTCGCGAAGGCATTCACTCCAATAGTCTTGACATTTGACGCACACTTGAAAGTAGAAAAATTCTTAGCACATTCACAAAACGCTTCCTCTCCAATCGTTTCCAGAGCTGTTGCTTCACTTAAATCAACTTCCTTTAAATCTGTACACCCCGCGAATGCTCGGTTTCCAATCGTCTGCAAAAATTTTGCCTGGCTAAAATCAACTTCCTGCAGATACCTACATAACGCAAAAGCTTCCTTTCCAATAGTCTTGACGTTCAATGGGCACTTGAAAGTATCATAAAGCCTGCTACAGTTGTAGAAGGCTTGCTCTCCAATCGTATCCAAAGATGTTGCGTCGCTGCAATCAACTTCCTTTAGTTTTGTACATTCCTTAAAGGCCCCATTTCCAATGGTCTTGAAATTGGGTGGGCATTTAAAAGTACCATGAAGACTAGTACATTTGTAAAAGCCAGAAGCTCTAATCGTTTCTAAAGCTCTAGCCTCTCCGAAATCAGCTCCATTCAGCTTTTCGCACTCAGAAAAGGCGCTCTCTCCAATAGTCTTGACGAGGGGTGGGCACTTGAAAGTGCAATTGAGACTAGCACATTTGTAAAAGGCTGAATCTCCAATCGTTTCTAAAGCTCTAGCCTCTGCGAAATCCACTCCATTCAGCTTTTCACATTCAGAAAAAGCACTCTCTCCAATGATCTTGACTTTCGATGAACACTTGAAAGTACCCTCAAGACCAGTACATTTCAAAAATGATTGCCTTTCGATCGTTTCCAAAGTAGTGGCTTCGCTCAAGTCGACGTCTTTGAGATTTTCACATTCAGAAAAAGCACTCTCTCCAATCGTCCTGACGTTTGATGGGCACTTGAGAGTACCCTCAAGACGAGAACATTTAAAAAATGATTTCCTTTCAATCGTTTCCAAAGCAGTAGCTTCGCTCAGATCGACGCCCTTGAGATTTTCACATTCCTCAAAGGCACTCTCTCCAATCGTCCTGACTTTTGATGGGCATTTGAAAATACCCTCAAGACCAGCACACTTGAGAAAGGATTGCCTTCCAATCGTTTCCAATTCGATTGCCTCTGTGAAATCAACTTCCTTTAGGTTTTCACATTTCTCAAAGGCCCCAATTCCAATGACCTTGACATGGGGCGGGCACTTGAAAGCACCATGAAGACTAGTACATTTGTAAAAGACTTGCGTTCCAATCGTTTCCAATTCGATTGCTTCAGTGAAATCGACTTCTTTCAGATTTTCGCAGCTGTTAAAGGCAAACCCTTCAATTGTTTTCACATTGGATGGGCACTTGAAAGCGAAAAGACTAGGACAATCGGAAAAGGCAGCTTTTCCAATCGTTTCCAACGCGGTTCCTTCAGTGAAATCAATTTCCTTGAGATTTTGACATTCCGCAAAGGTGTGCTCTCCGATAGTCTTGACTTTGGATGGACACTTGAAAGCAAGAATACTAGGACACTTGTAATAGGCCTGCTCTCCAATCGTTTCCAACGCTGCTGCCTCAGTGAAATCAATTTCCTTTAGATTTTCACATTTTGCAAAGGCTTGCTTTCCAATCGTCTTGACGTGGGATGGGCACTTGAAAGCAACAAGGCTCGGACATTCCCCAAAGCATCTCTCCCCAACCGCTTCCAAAGCCGCAGCCTCTTCGAAATCAACTCCATTCAGTTTGACACATCCAACAAAGGCACTGTGTCCAATTGTTTTGACGTTCGATGGGCACTTGAAAATGAGGAGGCTAGCACATTTGTAGAAGGCTTGCTGTTCAATCGTTTCCAATGCTGTCGCATCTATGAAATCAACTTCCTTCAGACTTTCACATGAGTGAAAGGCTGCCTCTCCAATAGTATTGACGTTCGATGGGCACTTGAAAGCAGCAAGGCTGATGCACTTCGAAAATACTCTGACTCCGATCGTTTCCAAGGCCGTTGCCTGACTGAAATCAACATCCTTTAGATTTTCACATCCAGAAAAAGCCATATTTCCAATCGTCTTGACATTGGATGGGCACTTGAAAGCGCCATCAAGATTAGTGCATTTATAAAAGGCTCGGTCTCCAATTGATTCCAAAGCAGTCGCCTCACTGTAATCAAGTTGCTTTAGATTGTCACAACCAAAAAAGGCCTTCTTTCCAATCGTCGTCACGCTCGATGGGCACTTGAAAGCAGCAAGATTAGAGCAATAGTAGAAGGCTCTCTCTCCAATAGTATCCAAGGTAATTGCCTCGCTGAAATCAACTTCCTTTAGATTGTCACATCCGGAAAAGGCCAACTTGGCGATCGTCTTGACATTCGATGAGCACTTGAAAGCAGCGAGACTAGTGCATTTACAGAAGGCCTTCTCTCCAACCGTTACCAACGCCGTTGCCTCGCTGAAATCGATCTCTTTTAGCTTTTTACATTGCTGGAAGGCTTCTTCTCCAATCGTTGATACGGTCCCGCGAACCACCAATTTCGTCATGGTATTTTTCATGTTTTGTGTTATCTCTTGGTTTTCGCTATCGTAGACAAATTCGACGATCGTTTCATCATCCTTATTGTTTGACGCGTCTTCTTCTTTTTCACTTTCTTCGTCAACTGTGTCGTAGTAGACTTTAGATTTGATATGCAAGTCATAGGTGTTGCGGTCTCTGCGGTTGAACCCAGAAGTACAGCTACTTGACATCTCTGCTGGAGCGTTCCTTCTCCATAAGAAGGGTGTGGTATGGGACAAGCCATAGCTGTAATCACTCATCTGTTGAGGCGAGTTATTAAGGGTATCAACTTTGTTTGATGCCATTTCTTCCCTATTGTCCTTACTTTGCGAGGTGGATGTTAAAAAATATGCTATTACACTATCATAAAATCACTCAACACAGCATTCAACATGTCTGGAGACTATTGAAAAAACATACTCTCGGATTTTTGTACACGTACACGCGCGTGTCCTATACACCGGCACATTTTTACTTAATTAATGGCGTCGGAGAACAGAAAGTCGGCAAATCGGAAGATACAGTACACGTACACGTGTACGTATCCAGGACAGGCGTGTACGTGTGTGCCCCGGTTTTGATCCATGCATTCGAATACTGTACGGTACTGTAGAATAGTGTACCGCGATGATACTGAAAACACAAAAATTATGCATATTACCAGTATTCATCATGCCTGTTGCGTATTATTCCATATTGTAGCAGTCACTCTGTGTTTTGTTGGAAGCGCTAGCAATGCCCTTTCTACATTAGACAACAAAAACAACCAAAAAAAGGCAACCAATGAGCATCCAGAATGTTTGGAATATTATGATTTGATTGTTTGTGGTGCCGGGGCTTCTGGAATGTTTGCAGCTGGTACGGCTGCGGCTACTTTTGGAACCAAGACTCTTTTGATAGACAAGTATGATATTGAAGAAGGCAATACTAGTAGTGCACTAAAGCAGCAGCAGCAGCAGCATGTGGGAGGGGATTGCACCAATGCAGCTTGTGTTCCATCCAAGGCAATTCGATCGGCAGCTCAAGTCTTGTCAACATCAGGTGAGAACGACAACAGCAATTCCATTGCCCAACTTGCTCGACAGCATGCTATTGAAACCGTATCCAAGGTTCGACAACGAGAATCGCCAGATCGATTGGCCCAAACTCCCAATTTGGATCTCATTTTTACCACGAAAGCATCCTTTATCCAAGATGATGATAATGATGGTTGTTCCAAAACGATGCAACTTGATACCCCATTTCGACTATCGGACAATGCAACTGACTGGGAAGTATGTGACAACTCGGACAGTCTACGAGTCAAAGGAAAGAAATTCATAATATGTACAGGAGCTAGTCCGACCATCCCCAAAGCCATTGAAGACTCTGCCAAACAATTAAATGTTCCCATTTTGACGTATCGATCCTTCTTTCGCCCGGATGGCAAGGAGGGTTTGCTCTCCGATCAAGTCTTGTGGAACACTACTATTCACACTAGGAGGAAACAACAGGTGGTCATTCTTGGTGGTGGCCCAAGTGCTTGTGAAATGGCGCACACCCTCGGCACACTGAACCAAAACAAAGGCACGCAACTCGAAATCACAATGATTGCTGCAACGATTCTGCCCCAAGAAGATGTGGCCGCTAGATCCTTTTGCCGTACCTTGTTGAAAAATTTGGACATTCGGTTAGTCCTTGGCCAAAAGGCTACTCGCTTGACTGCCACTGCGACTGCTGATGCTGCGTCTGATGAGATGCCCAAAGCTGTGGTACTGTTGGAGGATGAGTCGCAAGTTCCCGTGGATCTAATCATTTGCGCTACAGGCCGTGCACCAGGAGCCAATTTGGAGGAATTGCAATTGGAGCGAGCGGGTGTCAAGTGGAAGTATCAAAATGGAATCCTAGTCAACTCCCGATTGCAATCCATCTCGGCCAAACATGTCTTTGCCGCCGGAGATTGTGCCAGTGCGGTACCCAAAAAGGATCGACGGGCTGCCCATGCTGGATGGACTGGATACCATAGTGTCCAAAGTGCACTCTTTCCTCGAATTTTCACGCCAAGAGATTGCATTCATCCCGTGGTGCCCCGAGTTGTTGCGTTGGATCCTGAAATTGCCTCGGTTGGTTTGACGCACGCCGAGTGTGTGGCCCAATATGGCGCCCATGGATTTTTGCATCTAAAAGCAATGGAAGAAGGGACCGATCGAGCCGACATGGATTCCATTGGGCGTCCCACCATTGGATTTGTCGAGTTGCGAGCCTCCAAAGCTACTGGAAGGATCTTGGGCGCCACCATTTGTCTGCCCAGTGCACCCGAAATTGCCAATGAATTGGGATTGGCCATTCGACACAAAATGACCTGCCGGGATATGGCCAAATCAATACATTACTATCCGTCGTATGGTTACTTGATGCATCGAGTGGCGCTGGCGTTGGCGTTCAGTAATGTTTGGGGTATGCTGGCTGCTTTTGGACCATTGGGCCGAGTGACGGGAGGAATTGGACGGATCATCCAAGCGAGTATTGACAAGGTTGACTTTCGCAAGCGTACCAAGAAAGCAATACGAGATTGGCAAGCGAAAGGAGCGAGTCAAGAGTTCTACTTTCCTGAGGAGGACAAAGACGCTAGCAATGCTTCTATTTTGTCGACCATCAATGGCATTTCCTTTCTTGAAGTGGCAGAGAAGGACGACTTATGTCAAGCAGCAAGAGAGTTAGTGAAAGAACAAGCCCTAACCTTAGATGTTTCTAATTCCACGACATCCATGGCAGCTTCTTTTGTCGAATGGATGAATTCTAAACCCAATTGATTTGAACCCACAATGCTGATTCCAGACAATGAAGCGTCCTTTGGGTTGATTCACACTAAAATTTTCTCAAGTCGTGAAGTGTCTGAGGTTACGACTTCCATCGATCTTCGATCGCAAGTCTTACGTTATGGTAGATGCCACGCTTCTGGAATGCTGCCGCGATTGTCAGTGCATATCCCTAGAGGGTTCCTTGCCGCAGCTGCGTTAGGTTCAACGGAAGGATGTGCTGGGCCACCTTTTTTCTGGCATTCAATCCTGATTTCTTCGTCCGTTGGATTTCAATTGAAAGTTCCAAGCAGCTGTTAGCCATTGGTATCGTACCTGATTACTTCGTACGCAAAAAAGTGGAACATTCGCAGTTGCTGTTGCGACATCTACAATAAAAGGTACGCATCACGCGACTGAAATTTCAAATTGCGAGAGCGAGCGAGTCAGTCAGTCAACTTCTCCTGGTGTTTCTACCCAGTCGCGCGTGATACAGTACATTCACACGCGGATTGAGAAAAGGGAGCTGATGGCCGACGGTGAGCTGAATTACAGAAAGCAATCACAATTTACTCCCGAGGCCCAAAATTCATTCGAAAGATGTACCTTAAGTTGAATCGTCGTCAAATCAAGCTACTAGGTTACAAGTCATATGCCAACTATCCCCTGAGGCGTCTTATGATCGCTGTAATGTAAGTTTGTCACACTATCGACTTGTGATTAGCATGCGTTATCGTACTAACACTTTGTTTCTCTACCTTCAATCATACTAGCTTCGACTTGTTGCGTCGGCGGAGACCAGATGCTCCCGCAAGAGTGGCTCGAATCTTCCCCCTTGTGGCACAGAAAATGGAACATTGGATGTTTGCGCAATCTTCTTCTCGTCAAGAGTACTCCGACCTCTCCACCTTGACTTCTCGCATGGCACAATACGCCCGAATGACGTTGGAACGTGCTGGACGTCTTCATCCCCGTCTAGCCAAAGCCGCTTGAAAATTGAGCCAAAACCGGCAACGGTGGTCATTGTCCCATTTCCCACCCATAGGCTACATGTAGCTACAATTATCAGAAACGAATATATAGTATTTACTTTTATCTACTACTGCTGCATCTCTCTGATATCGTCTATCTATCTCTCTGTCTTGAACTGCAGTCGACTCGTACGACTTGGAAAAGCATTTTCACCTCAATTATATTTTTCTGAAAAATTGATGTCGTGAAGCAGGAGAATGATGAAACAAACATACTGATAAAGAGACAATAAAATGCAGCAAAACCCTGGGAAATTTATATCATTCGCAATCCTTCTACTATGGCTGATACTATGGACACCAGCTTGTCAAAGTTCTACTGTAAAACTGCAACAACAACAACAACAACAACAACAACAACAGTATGCCAAAGCACGTCAAGTAAGGGCACTCTTCGGTCATGACGCAGCCCAACCCTTGTACGAAGAGCTCTTGGCAACTAATCCTGCCGACACCACGGCAGCGACTCGAGTCGCGTCAAACCCAAATGCACGAATGGTGCATTCTCTGCTTGGAACAGCCGGTACTAAGCAAGAAAGACTCGCCTTTACAAACAAACTTGGTCAGTTGCAATTTCGTCCAGTCCCCATTTCCCAGGAAATCTTTGGTGGAGGTGAGTCTTGTTCTCGAGCCGCGAAAAGTGCCAGTCGCTCTTCCGCACCACTCTATCTCAAGCCACTCCGCGCCGGAGCTGTACCCCCTCCCTTGCCGGAAAGTCCACTCGTGGCTTGCATTCAGCTGCTATTGTTGGCGGTATGCTTGCCGACGCGGCATTGTGTGAACCTACTTGGTGGCGAGACGGTGGCACTGATGGAGACATTAGGAATCGTATATCGAGAAAAATTTAGCGACAATACACATGATGACTGGTTGGTTCCGTATTGTCATGTCATGCCTGTGCGAGTGGAAGAAGGCACCGTGTACATTGCTACGGATTTGCATCCAGACGTCCTTTCCACGACTACAGTTCCGAATGGAGATGGAACCGTCATGTACATTGGTCCTGACTCTTTAGCACTATTGGATCATTGCAATCTACAAAATGGTTGGATATCGTCACCGGAAAATATGAGAATTGTGGATATTGGATGTGGAAGTGGGATTCAAGCACTGCGTCTATCAGCGTCAAGCCAAAGGAATACAGAGAATCAAGTAACGTCAGTGGACGTGAATCCAAGGGCATTGGCAATCACCAGACTAAACTTTGAGTGGAATGGCTTGGAGACTCCTAGCCTTGTACTTGGCGATATTACTCAATCAGCTGGCGGCAGCATCGTCATTGATGATAATGAAGACAAGAGTACTACATGGCAAAGCGTATTCAACGGTGTCACCCACATCCTGTCAAATCCACCATTTTTGCCTGTGCCTGTACAAGATGACCAGATTTCCAAGCGGTATGGATTGTTCTCCAGTGGTGGAGCTAGCGGAGAAGAAGTATTGCGGCGAATTGCCGAACTGGCAGCGGAATCTTGTTCCAATAACTCGGAAGTCAAGTTGGCCATTGTTTCGGAATTCATGAATCCAGATGAACGGTTTTCGAGCAAATTACAAGAATGGTGGAAGAACGGAGGGAATCCAAAGGCTGAAGCGTTCTTCTTTTGCAACCAAGAGCCACTGACCGCTGAGGAGTACTCGCAACGAAGAGCTGATTCTGACGAAGAAACCGACAAATGGATTCGTCATTTGAAAGGTGAAGACATAACTACTGTTTCACCAGGACTTTTGTACATGCAATCCTTGTTTTCCAACAAATCAACAGAAGCCGATCTACGAGTGCATCATCATTGCGTACCAAAAACGGATCAAGGATCCATCTGGACTCCAACAAATGAGAAGGCACGCCAGTCCACCCAAGAGGTCATGGACTCATTTATATAGCTTCGACGTCATCATTGAGCCTAATCTACCATGTGAGCTATGAAGAATTACAACTGGCTCTTGATATCGAACTCTTTATGATTTGTTGACAGCAACGGCAAGATCTGTCACAGATTCCTTTGTTTGTCCCCGCACTGCGACGAAACCTAGCAGGTGTCATCAAAAATTACAACAGGATTGAAAGGTCACCCTGACCCTGATTCTCCTTGGATTAGCATTGCAAATTCGAGCTGTGTAGTAAGGCTATGCAAGAAAAGAGATCATGAGACGGGCAGAGAAACGGACTCCAATTAAGCAATGTTCCAATCAACATTATTTCGTTGGGTGTTCTTCAATCCTAGGCTTAGTACTTTGCTACAATTATTTTTAAATTGACTAGTATAGCGACACTGAGGTTAACTTTGGAACTTTCTCTTGGCCGATGGTTGTTTCTCGGATTGATTCGGTTGTTCCCTTCTCTTCCTGTGACCGTCAGATGAGGGTGCAGGTGAGTTACCCTTTCAGCCAGGATCTCCTATTTCACTTAAGGGTCGCGCGCGAGCCAACAGATCTACGAAGTTTTTTGAGACACATAATCCGATTCAAGTCCAATCTTCGAACTCCTACAATTTCCCCACCAATACTAGCCACGAGTGGAGCTATCGACAGTGAGAAAGATGGCTCCTCCAAAGAACACAACTAAGAACGCATGCATGCTAGTCGCCGAGGCAAGCAAGACCAAGCAGCCAAAAGAAGAGCAAGACGAAGTTGCTTGCAGTCGAGATGAATTGGAGGGAAGTCCACATTCGGGCGATGATTCATCGTTGCGAAGAGAGGCTCGGTCAAGAATTCGTCGCAACAGAGAAGGTGCCAAGGTAAAGGAAAAAGCCTGGGCTTTAAAGTCCCATCGCTCTCCAAACAGAAGCTCGACAAGAGATGGAAGCCTTAGACAAGCAAAAGAGACGAGTAACACCTTCAGCTCAAAGCAAGTCGCCTACAAGGATTCCAGCTATTGACCCAACAGAGTTGCCCACGGTATCAATTGGTTCCCCGACCAAGCCACCTACAAAAGCGCCATCATCCAACGCACCAATAAGCCTTCCTTCGCAGTTGCCTTCAGAGTACCCTTCTTCATTGCCTTCACTTTCACCGACAATGACACATAGCAGCGCACCATCACAGAGCCCACCCAAATTGCTAAGCACATCACCAAGCGTTGCTCCTTCAATCATGACGCCTGAAACATGCGTTCCATTGGATGGAGGAACAAAGTGCACTTGTGGGGGTATTGCCGCTTTGGCACAGATGCTTGCGATTTTTACGTAGAAAGACAGCCAAGGGATTACGAGGATTGCCCATCCGGTCCTGTTTCATTAATCACTGATTTTGTGGTAGTTACTCAACCCAGCACAAAAACAGCCTCGAAAGGACAAGTTATGGGTGCGTGGAGGGCGATAGATGGGAACCCCATGATGGAAGTCAATTCTTGACATGCACACAAACGCTGTGTCATTCGTTGAATCCGGAATATGCTGGTGGCAGGTTGGTTTCGGCTTTGAGGCACAAGTCAATAAGATCACAATTTGGAACATTTATGATGGTGAACACTGCTACCGCATCCAAGGTTCCACAATAGAGTTGTTCGACAGTGATGGCAACACACTATATGCTTCCACCATTAAGTATGGAATCGGCACGAATCCACCAGTAAAACATTTCAATTCGAATCTTCTGTAACCAATGTGGCTGCTGGCATCCGTTGCACATTTGCTGCTGGTAATCGATGATACTGGTTCCAGTTACTATCTCAGTATAGAAAGTATGGACAGCATAGTCTCGTATCCAAAGAGAAAGTGTTGAGCAAGTCCGAGTCCGCTATGCTTGACAGGTTGAGGTTTTGCTGCCATACAGCGAGAGTTTAGATATTTTATATATCGTTTGAGATTTTTCGTTTTGATCTCAGAACATATAATGCGATGGCCGTCCGACAATGCCAGCTTTTTACCAGCAAAGTACACTGTTTTTCTGGTCGCAATACCACTCCTGCATGACTTTTCTGGACAGCCGGCATAACGAAACCGCGCTTGTGAGAATGTGCTGGTCACACGTAGGAGAGCCGGCTCAATATTGGCGAAAAAACAGACTTTTTAAGTTGTATTTTATTTCGTGTCACTATTCAAACAACAGACAAGACAACTTCGTCATGACGAGGCTCCAGTGGTTACTGAAGAAAGGGCACAGGCAAAAATACCCTCCACTGGAGAATGATATCACCGGCCTCTCGGAAGGAGATAGACCTCGTCATAGACGCTCAACTTTCAGCTTCTTCAATTCAAAGAACGACCATGGATATGTTTCTGGTGGTAGCGGTGGGGAGATCAAGACGAAAGAAGCAGGTCACAACAGAACGGAATCCAACGAAACTTCCCTAACCAACGCTCTCACAATCAATACTGAACTGTCATATTCTGGGGAAGAAAGATTCGATCCTTGCTATATTGGCGAATCGTCTGGATCATTTGAAGTGCTTTCACCGCATCACATGATACAGTATGGTAAGTCTCTGTTGGAACTAGAGACTAGGGAAGGTGGTACAGAATCAAGCAGGGACCAGTATGACGATGAAATTAGTTCTTCCAGTTCCGAGAACTCCTATGTGGAAGGTCTTAGTTGCATCATGGAAGAGAGCTCCAGAGAAGCCGAATCGGACTGCTCCATTGGGATCGCGTCCAGAGCAGGAAAGATGAATCCACCTTCACCAGTGCCATTTTCAAGTCAATGGGATGGTTTTGGACCAATGAATCCACTTGATTATATCATTTACGATAGTCAAAAGTCGGATATTCATCAAACAAAATCAAGTCAAATGAACTCGCTTCCTCCACGAATGATTCAGATGGACGGATCAATTCTATCTCCAACTGGAAATTCATGGACAAACTTCGGTACAGATTCGTCGCCCCAAAGTAACTTCATCAGGAATCGTACCAAGCCAACTACGGTACCTGTATTGGGTATCAACAACAGCATCATAAACAAGAAGCTCATAAACAAATCACAGAAAGAGGAAACAACTTCATCGTCAGCGACAATCGTCAAGGAGGTCAATCCCGCTTCATCCTTTGAAGGCATGCGCGACCAGAGTCCTACCTTATACAATACGAGAGCACCTTCAACACAAAGTGGATTTCGTGATGAAGACAACTCGGGCTTTAAAAATGTCCTGGTGGACCATCGAACCAAAAGTCATCGCAACCACAATAGTAGCGATGATGGGTCCGCAGATCGGATGGAACTTCTGAAACCGAAGTACCCCATTAAGAAAATACACCTACGATCTTCAAGGAGCTGGCTCCATTTCTTTTCTCGGCCGTTTTCAGGTGAAAACAGTTCAGTTTCTCTTTACAAGCTTGTCGTCCCATCCTCGGCGACTGACGATTCGGAGCAAAATTCGCGTTATGCACAGGAAAAATCATTGCAGAAACTAGCGGATGGTACCGTCAGGTTTGAAATATAGTAACACGATTAGGGATTGTTCAAGACACCAAGTATCATAATTTTTAAAAGGCGCCCACTTCTGCACATGTGCTTTTAGTACTGTACACATACTTTTATTTCGATCGGAATAAATTTTGATATTTTTCCACAAAAAAGTTTTACTTTCGCATTTTCTTTCCGCGCGACTTCTTCATTCATGAATCATGTGTCACACATGATTAAAAAATCGCGCTGCCACGTGCGTGAGAGTCCAAATCGCTAGATTTTGACAGTTTGGCGACATGATCTATATTACTTTTCTGATGAAGTTCGGCATAAAAAGAGAAAATGCTAACTTGACAATGAAATTCCATCCGTTTTTCAAGAGGGATCAACGGCAACAAAACTCCTCATCACAAGATGACACCATTGACCAATCACAAGAGGATCAAAGTTCACAAAAGCGTCGTTTCAATTTGTTCCATTCAAAGAAAGAGCAACATCAACAACAACAACAACGCGTTGGGGAAAAAAATGATCAAGCAAATCACAATCGAACAGAGTCGAATGAAACCTCCATAACCCATCTTTCAATCAACGAGTCGTATTCTGCTGACGGATCTTTGTGTATCGAAGATTCTGATGGATCGTTTGAAGTGCTTTCACCGCATCACATGATACAGTATGGCAAGTCTCTCTTCGAATTAGAGGCAGAGGGGCAGCTTCAAGGAAACAAATCCGACGCCGAGAACTCGTCTGAGGAAGGTCTTAGTTGCATCATGGAAGAAAATTCTGGAGAAGCCCAATCATCAGATAGCTCAGCTGGTGTTTCGTCTCAAGAAGTCAGTCCAAGCCCCTCGCCTACAGCTACGCCGTTGTCATTGAGTCAACGGGATGAACGATCCCACATAAGTGGATCGTTGCTCAGTTCGGATAACAAGAAACTACCAGCAGTTACAAAACAACGGTTCAGTCAAATAAACACCATTCCACCAAGAAGGATTCAAATGGACGGGTCCATTCTGTCGCAAACTGGCGGGGCATGGGCGGGGAGTTCCAAACCAGCTACGAAAGATTCGAGCTCATCTTCAAGCGAAAAAGAAGACGAGCCCGTCTCATTCTTTGATTGCATCAGCAAGAAACCTGTCGACGAAGACCAGGACCCTAGTGGTTTGGACGGCTTGAGTCCTGCAAATCTTCTAGATCAAGAAGAAAGTAGTAGCAGTAGTAGCAGCAGTAGCAGCAGTAGCGAGGGGTCCTCATGTAGAAAGGGGTTGTTGAATGCGAAAAAGAAAAAGAAAAAACATCGACGCTCGTCAAGAAGTTTTCTAAATTTCTTTTCTAGACCTGCTGCGAGAAGTTTGACTCCAGCTCAAGATGACAATGCACCAGCTTCTGTGTACGAGCTTGTCGCATCTGCTTTCTCTGATGCTGGAGACGATTGTGCTGATGAGGACTTGAACCAAAGAATGGAGAACGTACGCTGGACAGCATCAGATGGTACTCCAAGATTTCAAGCATGATCAGCCAGCTATATGAGTAGACGGAGACAAAGATGAAGAACCATCACCACCACGCCCACGCAGCAGAAGAATGGCACGGGAGAACATCACAAGGCAAAAGAATACAGGGGAATATCGCAAGAGTAAATTATTCATAATTATAGAAGGGGTAGACCATTTAGAGCATGTACTATACGTGCACTATGCGCTTTATTTTTGCATTACAACATAGCAATGTTTATTTAGCGATTTGTAGGGATCGGCTTGCGCGCTGGCAGTGATTTCTGAAGGATCTCATCATCGCATATCATTATTTTCCTCACTCCAACACAGCATCACCAAAAGTTCTCACCATGGTTTGGCCATCACAAGTCCTTTCCAAAAACAGAGATGGGATATTCAGCAAAAAGCATACAGTATGCAAATCAGCTACTAAAGCAACGGTAAAGGAGGAGTCTGCGAATAGAAAGAGTGATGGACACATTGCAAACAGCGGCACTGTCGGACGAGGAGGAGGTCCGGCCAAAAATTGGCCTTCGGTTGTATTGGATGACGCAAGAAAGCTAACAAAATACCACAAACATCAGAAGGCTCCCAAATGCCAAGCATCTGACAATGGGACCGGTAAAAGTGCTAAGGCCTGGCCTTCAGATGTCGTATTGGACGATCCGAAATATGCTACACGAATTCAACGACAAGAACCTCCAGGAATGACAGCACATGCGACTTCGATGAATCACCAGACCGACCTCTGGCCTTCTCTCGTTTTGGAGGAAAAATTGCGGAACAAGCGTAGTGAAGGAAGAAATGACAGAAGCACAACCAGAATGCAAGAGCAATACGAAGAACGAGATGGAATGATTGACGAATACTACAAATACACCCTCAATCGTCATCAAAAACTTGATGCTCAACTCGGATCGCCGAGATCTGATCACCTATCGTATGCTACGTCTTACTCAAATGGAGACTCCGAAGATGATGAAACTCGCTCACATGGAGCATATACCTATGATTCAAAGTCTATTGGTATCAGTACGTTGACCAGTAGGACTACGTTGAGAACGGGATCATTCAGTACACGAGATTTGGATTCTGGTTGCTATTTGCAAGACAACCAAGCAAATTGCAATCCATCAGTCCCTCCAAGAAATGCCGAAAGCAACAATCTTGTTTCAGCACTGGTCCATCTCACCAAAAATTGTTATTCGCCAGCTGATCCCGACCTACCGTACTAGTTCGCGGCCTGGTTGATGTCGCCATCGATTCATTCGTTTGTCATCCACCAGATGTTCGGCCAAGATTAAAGATACATAATCGAGAGTCGTCAGACTCGATATCCATAGAATGATTTCGTCTTAAATTCATGGCTCAATCCACTTTCGTCGCTTTGTTGCGATGGCTAGAGAGCATCCTCTCACACCTTTACACTCTTTTCCACCTCCGTCTCTCGGAAAGTGTGATTATCGACTCTTGCGGTGGCCCACGTTTGCACAGCCTCAACAACAGCGCGAGCTTTCAACAACATTTCTTCGTATTCGTCTTCCATCTCGCTAAGTGCAGTGATCGCGCCCCCGGCTCCGATTGTAACTTTTCTGCCTCCATTCTCGTTCGGAGTCACAACTGCGGATCGGATAATGATATTCATATCCATGCAACCATTGACACTAAGATAACCAAGCGAACCAGCATATGGCCCTCGATCAACATCATCTTCCAGTTCTTCCAGCAGCTCCAACGTCCGCATTTTTGGTGCACCTGTCATTGATCCACCAGGAAATGACGCTCTCAGAAGATCCAGAGTGTTTTCCGATTCCGAAAGAGTTCCTCGGATAGTCGATACCATCTGGTGCACGGTTGCAAAGGATTCAATGGCCATTAGCTTTGCCACATGAACAGAACCAATTTGGCAGACACGGCTCATATCATTGCGCAGGAGGTCGACAATCATCAAGTTCTCGGCTCGGTTTTTGAGTGAAAGCTCCAAGGATCGTGCCCTTCTTTCATCTTCTCGACTCTCAGAATCACTCAAACACATGCCATTTTGTGGCTCCACCCGTGCACAAGTGCCCTTGATGGGTTTTGCTTCCGCAACCAACGAGATGGGCCCCAAAGGATGCTGCTTGGCTCGTTTGACACTCATGAATCGTTCTGGAGAGGAACAGCAAATCGCAAAGGACGGTTCTGGTGTTGTAGCACCACCGCTTGCCTCGTTTTCAATATTCCATCGAAAATATGCAGAGTATGGAGCAGGGTTGCGAAGCCGAAGTGTTTGATACAGGTTCCAAGTCGAAAGGGGCTGTGGGACTTTAGCTTCGAGTTGATTGGTAAGGCAGAGCTCGTAGGATTCACCCATTCGAATGAACTCGTGACAGTCTGCAATATCTTGTTGGTACCTCGCTTTCGATCGATTCGGTACAAACGTGAGTGGCTGTTGTTTGGATTGGGTACCATCAGCTCCTATTCTTTGTGGTGTCTTCTTGTGTTGGTCATTTCTCTGTAGCACACTTGCGGTTTGTTGCATCCATTCCACTGAATTAGCAACTTCCGCTTCTTCTTCGACAAGTGCAATAAGGTACCATGCCTTGGTTGGATGGTGATACACCATGCTTTTTCGGGCCAGAAAGAATACCGAGTCTGGAACGGAAGATTTTGGTCCGTCGCTATCGTTTGACTTTGCATATGTTTTCCCCTTCTCCACTCTGCCGTCTTGTGGCTGCTGCAACATGCGCTGTGTTTCGTGTCGTACCTCGTAGCCCAAGAATCCCAAATATCCACCCCGGTACTCAAATGGAAGGGGCTCGATTGCCTCTCCTGGACTATTGTCAGAAGATAAGTTTGGATCGGGCATGTCTCGCAGATCGTCCGCACAATCCTGAATGGTTTCAAAATCAGAATCGACAATGTACAATCGTTGGTCCCTTGCATTCTTGGCGTTGGAATTTATTGGACCATCTCCAAAGAGTCGGTCTTCCAATTGTTTCATAATGTCACCCTGGTCGTCATTGACGTAATGTTCGATGACATCGTGGGAATGCGTGGGTGCCGCCATAATGTCAATGGTCCCACGGCCAGAGGACGAGGCAGATGAACTATCCAACCAAATGGCTCGTGGCTGATCACCATAGAAGATTTCAAAGGCATCGACAGGTTCCATGATGGTTGACACTACTACTTTTGAAAATTCTTCCTTTTCATCACCATCTTTGTTCAATGATGATGCTTCGACAACATGAACGTAAACTCGGAACTTTGACTTTTTGGACGACGAAGACGAGTTGTCAGTTGTAGTGCTTGTGGATGATGATGATGATGATTCATCACCACTATTGACTTTGTTTCTTGACTTGGAGGACGACAACAAAGATCGAGTATTGTTACCATCTTCCTTCGCCTTTGATAATGATGATTCTTCTTCTTGGTTTCGTTGTTGTTTGACTTGTTGTGTCAAATGCAAAAAGTTTTTCAAAATGTCCATCCCATGTTGGGTTCCGATGCTTTCGGGATGAAATTGTACCCCATAATGTGGATTTTGAATGTGCTGCAATCCCTGAATGACATTGTCGTCCGCCGACGTGGCGGTCACTTGGAGGACGTTTGGCACATCATAGGCCGCCAGACTGTGGTACCGGACCGCTCGAAAACTAGGGGGCAAACGGTCAAAGATGGATGGGAACTGATTCTTGTTGTTGTTGTTGTTGGTGGTGGTGGTAGTGTTGGTTGCATCCACTGTACTTGTTCGAATCCAATGATCCTGTCCATGAATGGGTATGGGAGCCTTGTCGACATTGGCCCCATACTCCAATGCCAACAACTGATGTCCGAGACAGACTCCCAATATCGGCTTGTTAGGATTGCATCGAATGGCTTGTTTGGAAAATGCCGGTTGTTCTTGCGGACTTCCCGGACCTGGACTCAATATGATTCCATCAATGCCATGGAAGTTTGCTTCGTCCCATCGTTCAAAGGCATCTTTGGTGACCACTACTGGTGGTTCCAACGTCCATTGGGCCAACATGTCGTACAAATTGTAGGTGAAGGAATCGTAATGATCAATCAACAATAAGGAAACGTTGTATTTTTGTGGCATTTTGGTGTCATCATTGTTACTTTCTTTTTCATCAATGTCATCGGAATCAGACATGGGCAAGGACACCGATGATGACAGGTATGATGACGCATGTTTCGGCTGTAAAAAATGAGACCCAAACAACCTAGTTGGTGGGAATGATTGTGGCTGCAGGTGATGGTGATGGTTGTTTTGTATCCGATGAGACTGATGTTGTATCGTTGTAGAAGAAAACTGAAAGCCTTGAACCAAGATGCCGGCATGGGCCAATATTAATAATACTAATGCCGATCCAAAAATGATCTCCTTGTTGGATTTGACGACACTATTTCCATCTTTCATCATGATTGTGAAGATTCTGGGATGTGCAGCAGACTCATACGCAAATCTTGCTTCGATAGTTGATGGTTTCCTCTGTCACGGCGTCTTGGAGTGATGGGGTATGATTTCCTGTTCTAGAGTTCACGGTTATCATGTGCCTGCCTCTCATCATAATAATCTTGATGGGTCGAACGTTTCATATTTCCGAATATTCTTGGTTCTTGGAACCAACTGGCCGTCGTCAGCACTTTCTGTTCGGATGTGTCAGATTTACGTTTGACTCTGTCGAATGAAAGTGTGAGTCAGCCAACGTATTATATATTGTACATACTGACGAAGAAGAATGATCGAGAACTTTGAATTCTGCATGAGCGTTTATTTTGATGGTACACGTACGAATATCTACTAGCTAGCTGTATTTACACGTACCTACGAAAACTGCTATCGTGCGAAATCAAAGAAATCTAGCACAAACTGCGGTGTAAACTTGTATAATAGTTGTCAGTGTTCTATTATTTCGAATATACTTCTCTCGCCGATGATGATCAAGTTAAGTATACTAATGATGTTGGCCTTGGTCCTACTCGTGGCAGCAGTTGCACATGCGTCGTCGTCGTCGTCGTCATCATCACTGGAAGGAGAAACCAATCAGCTTCTTTCCAGACGCATGAATGGGAATGCCCGAACACTGTTGCAGAAAATGCCTGTCAAGAGCATCACTGCTCCCTATGCTGCGAATCATCATGAGCAAAAAGCTGCATGGAAGCCATCAGAACGAAACATGGAAATTGTGCAGCAAGCTCGATCGTCCTTGCGTGTTGTCAACAGCAACAACGATGTCAACAATGTCAAACACCAAATGAAGAGTATAAACATGGATGAAACCAGCAATAATGCACAACGCAAGCTGGCATTTACGGGACATGTTTGGGATGCTTGCATTCCCGATGATACCCCAACCAGTGCCGAAGTGACAGCCCAAGCGTACGATAATGTCCAATACGATGATGAACATGACCCAGCATGTGTTTGTTGGAGAGACAACCTTTTGAACGAAGTCTGGATGCAATGTCTAATGGGCGATGAAACTTGTGTGGATGCTGCCACCAGCAATACCGACCCCAATAATGCCAACAATACCAGTACGTGTTCCGAGACCCAGGAAATCTTTTTGTTTTCCACCAACACGGGGGATTTGAATGTCAAGAATACCTGTTCCTTCTGCAACGAATATTCCAATACGACGTGCGATGGCGTACAAGAGGTTTGTTCGGTCGTCTTTTTTGACGACAATGAAACTCCCCAACAATGTCTCTTTCAAGAAGTCCTGGACGATGGTTCGCCTCTCAATTGTGAGGATTGTCAAATCTGTCAAGGTCCAAATGGAGAAACCGGAATGAACTACGATTGCTTTGGCCAATCCACCAATGGCCAATGTGACACCACTGTCAGTTTTCATTTGCATAATTTTGCTCCCGTTTTGGAGAGCGGAGCGGCTCCAGTGCAAGGTCGTTTTGGTGACATTTGTCGCAAAAATGAAGAGGTTGCCCTGTACGACCAAACATGGTATGACAATTCCTTTGGAAAGGTGTGTGACTGCGATGATCCAACCGCAGGCGTCATTGTCTGCGATCTCTTTTTGAATGTCGAAGACTGCTTTGCGAACGAATGCAGTCCCATTTCGGAAATCTTTTATTTTGGATTGGACAGCGGCGAGTTGAACGAAAAAGTGACCTGCGATGGAACCAATGGACTTTGCAGCCGAGTGGCCTTTAATGACAATGATGGAGCACCCAGTGGCTGCGAAGTCATTTTGCTTCCAGATCCGAGACCCTGCACCTCTTGTAACATTTGTCAAGACGAGGCTGGAGCCTACGGCATTGAATTCAACTGCGGCACCGTCGAAACGGAATGTCTCACATCGAATGGCAGAGCCGTCAATAACTTTGTGGACCAACCAGCCACCAGCGCACCCAACGTCTCTGCCAACTCGAATCAAGAACCACCATCCAGCGCACCAATCAATACGTTTTCTCCCAACCTTTCTCCCGCCAGTAGCGAAGGGCAACAAGCGATCTCGTCCGGAGAGGATTCCACTCCAGTGGGAGCCATTGTGGGTGCCTTTGTTGGTGGACTTGTATTGGCTGGAATTGCTGCATTGCTGATTGGAAGAAAGCAGAATCGCACAACCGACGAAGATAGCGCTGGAGCAACGCCGTCGGTGGTGGAAGCTGCGCTGAATAATAATAATGAGGATGATCTCGAACTCGATGAAACCGAGCCAAAAGATATTCCTCAAATCACCTAAAAGACGATTACGCAGCCGGTGGGACCCTTTCAACAGTATATATATTATATATTATAATAGCAACATGTTCTTAAATTTTTACTTCAACTTGCCTGTTATTTGTTGCAATAAAGGCACCGAAAAGATCCAAGACTGCAGAGCGATTGGGACTTGGAATCTGGAATGTGATTGATGGACATTCCGATATATTAGTTTTGCTACTATTCCCACTTTTGAAACGATGAAAGAATAATATAAAAGAAAAGCGTTGGATACTTCAATGAAATTTCAGGTTTTTGTGTACCAAAGAGGAAGGAGATCCATCACCAAGCAATACGAACGAGGAAGTCAGACGAAATGAGTGCTGATGTTAGTGCCGTTGAGGATGCGACGGACTAAGATTTTGAACCGTTACCATCGGGATTAGTATTCCATGAGCAGAATTATTAACAACGCCGTGAATTCAGGCGCAGTCTATAGTCATGATCTACCTACAGAACATGTATTGATGCATTTGTTGCATCATTGCATTGGGATGTCATTGTTGCATCGATATGAAAATACTGTCTTGATCAAGTGTTCATTTCCATTTCCCTATTTCTCCAAAGGATATTCATCCCATATTTTAATATTTCAGATCACCGTGGAACTTTTTGTCAAATAGGCTAACATGAAACATTGTTCAATGCAGTCTTTACTATTTTATACAACTTGTTGCACAGAGAGAAAGAGCATACGGCAGCCTCCTCCTGAAATTGCGATCTATGTATCAGCGGACACAAGTTCTCACGTCCTCTTTGAATATCACAAAAGTGAAAGGCTTATTATTGACAAGACGAGCCGCCTTATTCCGCAATAACACAACAATGACCAAGAACAACAACAACAACAACAACAACAACAAAATGAACAAGAACGACGATTGGCAGAAACAACTCAAGATTATTCTGAATCAACGACGGGGTGTCGGTAACTTTAAAGACTACACTGTGAGCGAGAAACATGCGAAACGTATGCAGCAATTGGCGGAATCAGTCCCAGAAGTCTACAACAATCCTTCCAGCACTCCCCGGTCGAAATGGTTCGACCATCCCAATTATCGCAGAAACAGTCAAATGCCAATGTTTCACGTGCATTTTCGTCAAGAAATGCAAAGCGTGTTGGCGTATCTTGAAAAGGCCCATACGTTATCATCGTGCAGTGGCAAGAATCCGTACCAGAGTTGCAAATCGGCATTTTGGCAGTTCCAAGGATGCATGGGAGGATTGAACGGTCATGTTTCGATTGAAGAATACGCTTGGTTTCCAGTCTTTCAGAACCTCTTCCCCAAAGTTGACTTGCGCTTTTTGTTTGAGGATCATGAAGGTCTGCACCGTGCCGAAGATCAAGTCATGCAAGCCTTGCAAGATTTGACCGATCGTGCGTCGTCGTTTCAGCAAGAAGAAAAAGACAACGATGACTTGGAGGAACGAGTGGTCTCCTGCATTCAATTGGTAATGGACTTTGATCAACAGCTCATGGGGCACTTGGGAGAAGAAGAGGAAATCCTAATGCCCATGTCCTTGACTTTTGAAAAACGAATGCCGTTGTAAAATAGTATTAGCTATTTGGCCTGGTTCGTAGCATTGAAGTGTGATGAAAGATAAATGAGAGGCACACGTCGTGGAGGAGGTCATTAGCATACTGGATGTCTCACATAATAGTCAGCATTATAATATATAGACAATATTTACTATCTACTAGTCACTTCAAAAGTGCAGTGCATTGTTGTCCCTTGTTGGTATGGTTCCATTGATGGTAAAAAAGGTACAGTATATAGTGGAAGCATTTTTCGATAGTCCAAGGAGTCAACTGGAGTGGTTTCGAACATTTCACAGAATAGCATATTCTCCCGCTACTATATATTGAATATACTCGTATCTCCCTTATTGAGACGCGTTCATATGAATGCCACTATACACCTAATTTTAGAGTAAACATTATTGGAACGAAATAGTATTGTCATGACATCCGTTGCAACCGTCTACTACGAGGCATCCGCCACAAGTTTGGCATCCCAAATTGATTCAGACATACCCGTAGCTACAGTTGTGCCATACGATCATGATCATGACAATACGAATGATGACGACGACGACGAATCATCGTCATCATCATCGTCATTATCATCGTCATTATCATCATCATCAACGTCAGATAAAGATTTGCAGGAGCGTCTTCAAAGCGTACTCCATCAACGACGAGATATTATCAACTTTAAACAATATGCCGTGAGTGAAGAACATGTGGAACGAATGCAAGAATTGGCCCAAACACTTCCAGAAATATTTGCCAATCCCACCAAAACCCAACGAACCCAATGGTTCCGACATCCCAACTATGAAACGAACAATCAAATGCCCAACCTTCATGTCCATTATCGACTCGAACTACAAGGCGTTCTACTGTATCTTCAAAAGGCTTTTCACCAACTGGAACAACAACAACAACAACAACACGACGATGAAAATCCAGCACACGCCAGCAGTCTCAAATCGGCCTACTTTCAATTCAAGGGCAGCATGGAAGGATTGCATCGTCATATCGCCGTGGAAGAATGGAAACTATTTCCAGTCTTTCAATTAAGACACCCGCAAATTGATCTCAAGTTCTTGTACGAAGATCATGCCGATCTGCACCAGATCGAATCGAAACTCTTGCAAGCACTGTTGTATTTGTATGAAACTTCGTCAGCGTTAGGATCAGGAGGAATCGTTCATGACTTGAAAGAACAAGTGGTCGGTACGATTCAATTGGCATTGGATTTTGATCAGCAGCTCATGACACATTTGGGAGAAGAAGAGGAGATTGTTGTTCCATTGTCCTTGACCTTGGAAGGGAGGCTGAAATATTAAACTTGCGGACGAAAGAACAATGGTGACTGCATTTCTTTCCTGAGGAATGAAGCGATAGGAAGCAGATTATGGTGGCTCATAGATATTCACCAATATGGTTATGTATAAGCATTTTGAATATTTGCATACTGTCTTGATTATTACTTTCTGTCGTATTTTCGTTTATCTATTGACTCAAAATGGGGAGCTTATCATCGACATTATGTCCCAGCAGGTGCGCTCTAGTCGAAAAGAATCAAAACAGATTCCAATCCCAGTTTCCTACCAATGAGATGATACCCGTTTGCCAGAGACAAGATTGCATATGCTACAGCTGCTGAAAAGAGTGTCATTGGAATGTTGTCATTGTCTTGTCTTCTATGTGAATTGATCAAATGACACATCACGGTCCTATCATCGCAAGCCATCGCAACTGAATGGGCACGACTCACTCCATTGGTGGTGGTGGTGATGAAAATCATGATGATGATGATTACCACCACCACCACCAGGAAGACTGGACCGTCTTGGAAAAGGCTGGATTTTGCTTGCAGGTTTGCAACCAGTTGGCCAAATTGGGACAATCCTTCTTTTCCAAGTTGCCATATTCGTTTTCAATCCGCCACAAAAAGGGAAAGCCAGCGCAGTCGGCCACAGTCACATAGTCACCACAAACATACGGGCCTACCACCAAAGCATCGAGTTCCTTTAGCTTGCTCCACATGGGGCCCTTGGATACACCCAAGACGGCCTTTTTTCCAATCGGAAGGAACTCGGACAGGCATTGACGAAACTTTTTCACTGACTCGGCTGCTTCTGGATCATCGGTCGGAATCAGTGTTTCACCACCAGGAACTTGAGCAATGTCATTCAAAATGAGATCCGAGTCGGGTATAACAACAACAGCATCATCATCAGTTGAGTCATCTGTTGTTGACACGACCAAGACGGGGACCGTGCCTTGAGGATTCAATTCCCAAAACCAATCGGGCTTACCGCCTGCACCGTAGAGAGAAACTTGTTCCAAGCTATAGTCAGCATTGGAAGCCTCTAAAGCAATCCATGCCTTTTGAGCAAAGGGACACATTTTATTGGTAATGAACCGTGCTGGTTTGGTCACTGATGATGATGATGATGATGATAAGGCATTTGCCAATAATGATGACAACAAAGGCACCAAGAGTAGAAAGAAGGACGACAGAATTTTTGGAATGGTCATCATTATTAGCACGGGGTTGTTTGGAAGGATTTATCAAAGCAATTGCTTCTGAGAGTCACTACGTACTGCTGTTCGGAAGATCGATCTAACAGTAAAGGACGATTGAAGGTCGATATCCGCATATAATCTATTATGCGGCGCTTGCGATGCAATATGCTCTCGATCCATCTTGTGACGTTAGTCGAAGGAGTCGACTCGATTTTCAGACTATTTTTATTTTGATTACAAAGAACGCACGACTTCCGAAAACTAAGAAAACGGGACGTTGCAAGTGCAAAGGAGATTGCAGATTCGCGGAACTCTTTAAGAAAGTGATGGCGAAGCAATCTGAGAAAATGGGTCCTCATGTCCATGGTCAATACATCAATTCGAATTCACAGAGGAGAAAGCGCTTCTATAATTACTGCAGCCGAGAAGACAAATCGCTCAATGAAAAGAAGATGGACCGGTGCGTTCTCCTTTTTGCAAGGGCGCGTTTTCCATAAGAGGCTCAGTTGGAAAGCCCCCGATATGTCAACCCGTGATGTCCATTTATAGAGTAATCTAGGCTTTTATGTTACAGACGCCACTCCCAGTTTGACTCCAAAATGGAGTTGCCATGTACTCCGAAACTAGCTGCAATTAGATCTGTGACATGGTCTCACAATTTCACCATGGCGCGTTCCAATCGCAATGTGACCTCCGCCAAGCCCGGCTCATGTCCAATGAATAAGAAACTTCGGAATGCTGTTCTTGACGAGCTGATCACAACTCATGAACAAAATCCGAATAAGCGACGTGGTGACATTGCGCGGATTGTAGAAGCAAGCCAAGAAGAATACCCTTATGTTACCAGGGATAACTTTAACAATCGTTGGAGAGCGCTTAAGAAGCAAAGGAAAGAAGCTGCAGCAGCTACAAATTCAACCGAAAATTCTGCCGGAAGTTCTGAAGGCTCTGTGCTCGCGAATGCAGCAGAAGGAGATTTAAATTCAGCAGAAAAGGCGGGAAGAAAGAAAGGATCCACAGACGCCGCAAAGTTGGAAAGGACACAACAAGAAATGGAAGCTCTTCACTGGGTCACCATGAAGTGCAAGGAGAGCAAAGACCGGAATCCGAAGAAAATGAAAAGTGGTAAGTAAGCAATGAATTCATCGATTCTTCTCTCAGTATACAATGCGCAGATACTCACCTAAACTGCTTTGTATAGGCACGATTGATCACCTCATAACGTCAGCAAGATCCAAATTCAAGCTCCCTCCCATGTGGAATCCGAGCAAGGAAACCATCAGGACGCGACTGAAGAAGAAAATCCATGTGGTCAATCCAAAACGGGGACCCAAGAGTCCTGTGCCCGAGGCGGTTGAACGGACGGTAGTGGAGATTGCATGTGAATCCAACAGGTGCGGAAGACCACTGGATACGTCGGAGATAATTGACCTTGCAAATGACCTCATCAAAGGCCAACCCATCGAGAAGGATATCATAGACTGGCAAATTCGCTTCTGCCCAACAATACGTAAACGTTTCAAGGAGACCAAAGAACGCCCTACATCGGCCAACCTTGGACCCGGATGGTACCAGGGCTTCAGGCAACGAAATCCAGAGATAGCAACTGCAAAGGCAATCAATCATGATGAGCGCAGAGCACCCTGGTGCAAGTACGGAAACATGTCAGATATGTACGGCATGATTTACAAGAGATTGAAAGAAGCTGGCCATGCCAAAGAACTACCAACTCCGCAATGGCAGGTTGATACCACGTCCGATCTCACGTCTGACCAAGAGTTGCCAGAATCTCAAGACACACAATATTCCAATGGTAGTCAAGTATCCACAGCATCGGCTGTAACAATTCCCAGGATGAACACAGATGGCTTGGCTGGGTTTTATCTTGACCACATATCCCAGCAGCGTAAGCGAACGGTAGATCAATATGAAGAACTTCGAAAACGACGAAAGGAGCAAGAGCTCCAAACCGAAGATGAAAAGATTTTGAAGTATCATACCAGGAAGAAGATATCCTCTGGCGAGATGTATAAGAACGGAGACTGCGGTCCAACTGAGTTCATTCATCGGATGGTCAATAGGACCGAAAGGGCAAAGAGAAAGAAGGACCGAGATTCAACTTTGAGAAAGCACCAGTCTGATACGAAAGCATATCAATGCGGATTGAATCTCTTAGAGAATTCATCAAAGCCCATGAATAAATGGACAAACGAAGACATTCGAGTTGCGATCGTATCCAAGATCATTGGAAGATCCAAGGAAAAGTACTACCGGAAGATGCCAAATGACAGGGCTTCTAGGATGGAACTTTGGCAAAAAGTACGGTGTCTTCCTCACCCAGCAGAGCCTTACTTTGATGGATTCAGCGACGATAGCGGATTCAGTGACTCTGAATCCGATGTCAGCCGTGGTTCCAGCGCTGATGGTGACTCGGGCGACTCTGAATCCGAAGTTGTCCGTGGTTCCAGCGTTGATGGCGGATTCAGTGACTCTGAAGACGATGTCGACCGTGGTTCCAGCGATGATGATGTAGTTAGCGACTCTTGCATCCGTGTCACATGCTCGGGGGTCACTTGGTAGTCCTTGAAATTGAGGACGTCTCGCCTTTGTCGAAGAATTATGTCGAGTTGCTTTTGCCAATCGTTGTTGTTGTTGTCCTTCTTATTGTTGTGACTGAGGAATGAATTGCTTATGGTGGTGGCAATTGGTGATGCGGATGTAATAGTCATGATATCAAGCTTTTATTGTTTGCTTATTTGTTCGATTTCAAGGAGAATATTCTCGTTTTCTCAAATTGTGAGGGCAACATTGAAACAACATTGATAGGTGGTATATCAATCATCAGCTGATCTGACCCACTTCGATTGTGATCGCTTGTTGATGTGATAAATCGAAATCACCGGATGAAAATGGGACTGATGGCGAATTGGAGAAAATTATTCTCCGTCTGTCTGCCGGCATTGACATGTTTAGGTTGGGCGACGGAGGGACGACCAAAGCAACAACCGCAATCTTCATCAACAAACACAATTTCATTCCAATTTCAGAAATAAATCAAAATGGTGCGTCAATAAACAATCGATGGAAGCATACAGCAACAGATGTTTATAGTGGTGATAGAGATACGATGGGTGATGCACTGGCGCTTCTCTTTGGCTGTTACTTCGGTTGCATCGAGTTTTGGCTCCCATGTTGATGGTTACCGCATTACTCGTGCCGTAGGATTCTACGTCTCCAATGTACCACAGGTATCTAACATTTCTTGTTTTTCCTTTTTTTCCCTACCTTCCCTTGTTGTTGATGATGATGATGGCAATGACAATGACAATGACTATATCCAATTTACACACAACAACCATACAACGAATTCAAAAATCATAATAACAGGATCAACCAGTCAAATTGGCCAAAGTCAACCGAGTTTTGGGACGTACCGGAAACACTGGTAATGTCACACAAGTCCGTGTCGAATTCATGGATGCCGAATCTGGTGGTTCCACTGGACGTTCCATTGTCAGAAACGTCAAGGGACCTGTCCGTGAGGGAGATATCTTGTGCTTGCTAGAATGGGAACGTGAAGCTCGTCGTTTGCGTTAAAATTTATTTGCAAATGAAATAAAAAAAGAAAGAAACCTACCGTATCGAGACTTAGACTGACTATACACTTCGTTCCTTTTGGAATCTTGAATGATTGTTGAGTTGATAGAGATATGGATATTAAGACTTGCTGGCTGGAGGATTCAATAAATTGAATGAGATTGTGCTTGGATGCATGATTTGATTTAATTCATTGGACAAGACCTATCTTTGTTTCTGAGAGATGAATGATACTTCAACTCCTTTGATCCACTCAAGGGGGCATATTCACGTCATATGTTCGTTATCGTTTGCCCTTCTACTCTTCATCTCGTTTCTTCGACATGGTATTGAGAAAAATAGAAATACTTCGGTCATGTTTGGAATGGCAGAGAAAAGGCTCCTATCGTCCATGTTTGTAAAGGCTCTTTATCATTATATTCAATATCACATATTCTATTATGTACTAACCAATTCTTTTGGTCTACCTATGACTGTGTGGACCAATCGCTTGAGCAGAGCGCCATTTCAATTTCGCCTACGGAAGAGACGAATACTCGCTTCTTCATCACAGCATTACCACACTAATGCACTCCTGCTTTTTTTATTCCATGGACCATGACATGTCCGAGTGATCACCAGCAGAAAACTTGCTAATAATATGAGTTTCCAGAGTTTCCAAACTCACGACACTGTTCTCATCATTACCACCATTCTTAGCAGCTGACGGTTCATGAGATTTGCAAGCTGCTCCTTTTTTGGGACGACAACCATCATCATGATCTTCTTCTTTTTCGTTGAGAAGAAATGAGTTCGTAGCAGTATTGTCAGTCGTTGTGTTGCTCCATCTTGACGCAAATTGCTCCATTCCACAGAGCATGAACAATACTGGTGGCTTTGGAGTATGATTGGATGATGGGGAGCTGTTGCATTCGATCGATTGTGGTGGTGGTGTTGGATTGCAATGCTGGTCTTGAACCAGATCTTCTTCTTTCTTGTTCTTGCCTTGAAGGATGATGTTGGAGTCGTTCTGTGATGGCGACTCCTCCATCATGGTGCGTTCGGGCCAGGATGCTAGCAGTTGTTCCATCTCTGGCCACGCAAAAGGGCTGGCAAATATCCGAACAATCGTTTGCATCATCCAATTCATCAGGGTAGATAATGGGAATGCTTCCTTGATCGTGAAAGAATTTAGAATCTGCCATACTCTGTTCCTCGGTATTTCCTCGTTTTGCAAAGATTTTTTCGTTCTATTATTCAATTCACGATTGGGATCCGCAACATCATTTTGTGGAATGCTGCGGACCAAGTCCATTACCGTGGCCTCGTTTCTTGATTTAGCAGCCTCCTGCTCATTGAGAAACGCTTTTCTTCTAGTAGTCCTCCTTGTTGGAAGAGAATCAATCAGTTTCTCCAATGTCTCTCTTTCGAATGTTGACATGATACCAGAATCAGAACCGTCTTCGCGTGAGTTCCGCATCCAGTTCAAGATTTCTTCCCAATCCTCATCCGTAAAATCCAACGAGCTCCTCCTCCTCTTCCTGTCAACACCACTAGGTCTGTGTTGTTCTGTCATTGTCAATAATCTATATAGGTCTTCCTCAAAGTACTGTTTGTTGTTGTTGTTAGGTATCGTGTTTTCTCGCTTTTTGTGTCAACTTTTATGATGCTTCTTCCACTCTTTGCACGATTCAAGTTGGAATGGACTTCGGTTCCATCCCGAACTCAAGAGATAAAAATTTCAACCTCAATCAGAGGTCCATTGTTGTAGATATCGTATGTCTATATATATACAATCAACGGACTTGGAATGGCTTCAATATTGCCGTAGAAATAGGCAAATCATGGTCTTATGCGTCCTGTATCGCTTTGGAACCCTCCGTGATTGTTTGATAACATGGTTGTGTCATGATGGCAGAGATAATGATGATGATGTTTGGATGTCAGGCGAGTCAGGTGAGTCGAATGGGTCGTCTGGCATTTGGAATGGAATTCAAAATATTATCATCAGAAGAAAGCGACGACTAGTACAACTGTTAGGAGTCGCCATGCTAGATACAACATTAGTACTACAGCTTTTCCAAAGAACAATCCGTATTTTTGCATAGTCACGGCCATTCGGGATCCAATCGAGCACTTTTTGTCTGGCTACAGCCAATGAGCGAAGTGGAGTATCAATTTTTGGCCAATCATTCCAACTTTGCCAATGATCAAGTCAAGAATAAGCTGCTATCGAACCATCATCTGACTTATCTTCAACAAGTTCCAGGATCTCCGGAACGATTTCGTCAGTTCGTCACCAATTGGGTGTCCCATCCACGTGCCATGCGACGAGGAGTCTTTAATCATTTGGTGGATTCTCTCAGTCGGATTCTACCAGTCTTGCAAGAACAAAACCTTTCGTTGACGTCGCATACCTTCCATCCTTGCGTCATTTGAAGGATCAATCATGGCCTCGATTGATTCGTCCACTTGTCGTCGTCCTCGTGGACCTATCCAAAATAATGATCATGATGATGGAAAAGAGTGCCGAGCACGAGTCTTCCATGGTACTCATCAAGCAGCCTTGTCAGTTCGGAAGGAGGGTGGTCCAGTGGCTCGAGTATTGTTGCTGTGTTTGCTGCATTCCATTGATTACGCTTTTGTTGGGAAAGGCTTCCCGATGGGATCCCCGAGGTGTGCCAAAAAGTGTACCAGAAAAAAAGTTTCATGGATGTTATAAGGAGAGGTGAGTAGTTGTTCATTATAATATCACATGATCCTTGTATTACTGTACCGTAGTAGAGCACTTACTATCTACAGTATTTTCTCTGTAGTCGACTAGGTGGATACGTACTTCCATCGTCCGTTGTTCCAAACGTGTTGTGACGACAGACCACGAAAAAGTGTTGAAAACGACGACGAGAAGAAGAAGAAAGAAACCACACAATGACGAAACCTGCTGGAACTTTGAAGGCAAGACTCAATCCCATTGCTCATATATACATACATATATACATATACACGTAGCAGCATAGCAGCTTCACTGACAGTACAACGTTACATCTACATCTGCGTACAGTACAATAGTACTATAAGAATAATAATACGATGTCTTCCGCCATTCAATGTCATTACGACGTCTTGGGAGTCCCCAAAGATGCAGACGACGCCTTGATCAAGAAATCTCACCGCAAAATGGCGCTCAAGTGGCATCCCGACAAGAACTTGGCCAATCCCGAAGAAGCTTCCAACCAGTTTCGACTAGTACAACAAGCTTATGAATGTTTGTCGGATGCTCAAGAACGACGATGGTACGACGATCATCGGGATGCCATTTTGGCAGGATGGTCCAGTGGGGGTGGTGCTGGTGACAATGGAGATGCGGGAGCGGTCATGTTGTTTCAAGTGGTTCATTATATGCATCCCGGCTGTTATTCTGGTTATAATGACGAAAAGGGTGGATTCTTTCAAGTATATGGTGCTGTCATTAATGATATCATCAAGTGCGAATTGAAACAAGACGACGTTTTGATTGAATTGCCCACGGACTTTGGACGTTCGGATTCGGATTGGTCTTTGGTACAAGAGTTCTACCAACATTGGGAATCCTTTCAATCGGCCTTGAATTTTGCATGGGAGGACAAGTACAATACCATGGAAGATGCGGACAGTCGACGGGTGCGACGACTCATGGAGGAGGAAAACAAAAAGGCCCGACGGTCGGCCAAGAAGACTTACAATCAAGATATTTTGGCATTGATTGCCTTCATGAAGCGAAGAGATCCACGAGTCAAGGCAAAACGACTGGAAATGGAAGAGAAAAAGTTGGAGCAACAACGAAAACAAAAGATAGAAGCGGAAGAACGAAAACAACAACAAAAGGAAGCCATGGAAGCTTGGAAGGAGGAAGCAGCAAGAGAAGCGGCATTGGCGGAAGAACAAGATCGAGCTGCTGGCCGAGTCAGGTTAGCAGACTTGGAAGATGATTACGACTATGGTGGTGGAAAGAAAAAGGGCAAGAAGAAAAAGAAGAACAAGAACAATAATCAAAATCAGCAAATGCCAGAACAACCAGATAATGATGCAGATCAGATAGTAGTTGATCCAGAGGTGGCGGTAAATGGCGAAGGAGACGAAACGGACGTCAATGGACACGACGAAACTTTACCACAAAATGATGAAACCGAGGCCACAGAACACGATGCTGCCACTCCGGTCACTCCGGCCGAACCAACAGAAGAAGAACCCATGGCGGAACAAGATGTCGTCGACGTGCACGAATTTGACGATAGCAGCTATACGAGTGAGGAGGAAGAACCCGACGTGTGGAGGTGTGGAGTTTGTAAAAAGGATTTCAAGAGTGAAGGACAAATGGACAATCACCTAAAGAGCAAAAAGCATAAGCAAGCCGTCAAGAAATATGCAGCCAAGATGAACATGCAAGAAGATGAAGTCATTGCGGAAATGATGGCTGATTTGGGGCGTTAAAAGCTTTTATTAATATAGTACAGTAGAGCCAAATAGAATACAGGTAGTACGAAAAACAGTATATCATAATACCTACAAGAGTTATTATCTAATAAAGATAGACGCCGAGAGTTTAGTCATCACCAATGTGCTACTGTAGCTACATAGAAGTCGAACTCAGATTGGGCTTGCCAAGCAAGACGCAAACAGGTTTTGCTAAGAAAGAAAAAAACCAAAAGAAGATCAGACAACCGTTGGATTTTCATAGTAAATTTGTGTTTATTCGCTGTTCGTTGTCTGCATGTTGGTGAAAATTTGTAATATATATACAATATGTTAATGCTGTACCATTTGCAACGGATCACGTAATCCTCTCATATCTCATGTCCTTAGGCTGACTTTCAACTATTGATTGGCATAACTCCGGAATTTTTAACCAAGAACACAGAAACTCCTTCAATTGGAAACTGCAAAGAACGGAGCCAGCCAACATGACAAATAATAAATACAAAAGTGCTCGAAAGCAAAAGATTACGAGGAAGACGAAGTCAACAATCAGGGAGCCAGCGTCGAATGATGATGCCGATTCGTCTAGCACGGCTAATAATGATACCAATACATTGTCCATGTTTGGTCTGGGAACATCCGTATTACCACCAACAGGTAGTCTCATGTCGTCAATTTTTGGAAAGAATAGTGGACCACAATCATCATCAAAGCCAGCAGCAACGATGACGAAGACTAGTATTGGATCTGACCCACCCCAAGCCAACAAGCAACAAAGCACGAGCCTCATGTCTTCCATTTTTGGAAATGGAGACAATAATGATAATAACGAGTCGGAAAAATCATCCATACCGCGAGAAGAAGATCATCCGTCGCCTCCGTCGAAAAGAAAGAGAAAAAAGAAGGACGACAATCGCAAGAATGATACTAATGACGACGCTGTGAAAGCTAATACAACAGGTATTGATTTATTCTCGAGCAGTGCATCCTTTCAACAAGTTTCGCAAAAACGTCAAGAGGAAATTCGAAAGAAGCAACGAAAAATTATGCAAAAGCAAGTGAATCAAAGCAGGGGTATCGTATCATTATCACCAAATGCCGTTCTAGAGCGCCGTCGCAAGAGGACTGCCACCACAGGTGACCTCGTTACATCCGTAACGGTAGACGTCCAACAATATTGCGAGCCGTCAAAGAGTAGCGAGGATAGTGAAGAAGATTATGATGATGACATGGAAGGTGTAGCACGATTGCTTGTTGGACGTTCCAGTGCGCTCTTTCGTCAGCAAGGAGTCATCATTCTCCAATCCTTGTTGTCGCAGACTTCCAAGGCAACAACCAAGAAGAATAAAAAGTCAAAGAGTTCGGCTTCTTCCTTGATGAAACAAATGCAATCCAAGGCTCGGGACGTCGAGTTCCAGGTATGCCAGCGTCTCAATGAGAAATTGGGAGAAGACTCGTATCGACCAAAATCATCATCATCATCATCCCAACCGAATGAGTTGATAGCCAAGAAGAAGGATAGGAGCTTTCGATTTGTCGAAGTAGCATCCAGGTGTTTGGGTCGTTTGGATATTCGATACGGCATGGATGAGACACCATTTACCAATTTGCATCTTCCTCCATCTTCGCTACCACAGGACAGTACCAGTAGCAGCTCAAATGGAATGCATGACAACAATGTCGTCAAGCTCTTGTGGCCATTGGTACAGGATTTGCTAGGAAAAGATGCAGAATTGGTGTACACCGGATTGATACCTTCTTTTCCAGGATCGGAAGACCAACCTTGGCATCAGGTAAGCTTCTTCAATGAGAGATGACTGTACCATCAGTGACCCAATCTCATCTATATTCGTCAACCTAGGATGGAACTACCTTGTTCCCGGATATGCCCTCGGACCTAACCAACATCCTTCCTCCTTATGCCCTCAATGTATTCATTCCCTTGTTGGATGTCACGGAAGAATTGGGGCCCACCGAGTTTTGGCTGGGTAGTCATGCCACGGATCAAGCCCAAGACTTTCTCTCACAGCAACAAGGACTCGGCCGAGATCCAGATGATGATGATGATGAGAATAATGATGATTCCGACACTAAGCCCCAAATCATTGGACCCCTACTGTCGGTGGGCGATGCGTTGATTTATGACTACCGGATTTGCCACCGTGGAACGAGCAACTTGTCCAAGACCAAGACCACTCGCCCCATGCTGTATCTCATGTTTGCAAGGCCGTGGTTCAAAGAGCACTTGAATTTTGGCAATGAGCATTTGTTTGATTGCAAATAGACTGGATACCATGATAGAGTTTATTTCTTTGGATAGTCGGACATGGGAGAATCCTGAGCATATGGAAAGATGCTTTTTCGAGAACCTCCAAGTTCTTCTGGCAGGCAATCGGTTCCGACACACTGGGCCAACTCGGGAGGGATCCCACTCGAAACATGGAACTTTCCGACTGTATCTGGATCGAGAAAGGGCTGTACCATGCGGGATAGACCATTGAAGAGGTATGGGGCATTGACAACCCAGACATGAGCCAGCGTGTCGGGGTAGTGTGTCGAATTGACAGCTGCAACCTTTCCAAATGCGGTTGCCAAACGCGGATCCAAATGCCAAGGCCGTAGCCCCTTTAGATCCATAATGATAATCATTCCTCTATCGTCTTTGACTGGATTATCTGGAGTCGAACAATGACGATCCGTCTGTAACATGATTTCGCAAGACATACAGTGAAGTTTCACAAAGGATTCTTCGTCAATCTTGTCTTGCTCTGTAGTATCAGTGCCATCAGGATAGTTTTGGGCATAGTAATGAGGCCAAATAGAGGATAACACTTTTCGAACATCCCATCGACCACCACGCTCCACCAATATTGGTCGTCCATGACGATCGGCGCCCAAATAGTCATACCATAGTGTTTTTCTCATTTCTTTTTCTCTTGTAAGCCAAGTGGGATCTTTCAGCAGCTGGGAAATGCCCCCTTGTTTTCTCCATTCCAAGGTAGCTTGCAAGCGGTGAGTGGCTTGCTGAATATCACCGTTGCAAGCACGAAAGTATGCCAGCTTGTCGTGATTGGTTGCTTGAAGCTTCATTTGGGAAAGCTGTTCGATATGTTTCTGGATGAGCGATTCACGATCCAGCACCTGCTCCAAGACATTGTAGCCTGCATGGGGCTGGGAAGAGGCTTGACTAGAAGATGATTCTTCCATGACTACGAGATACTGTACGTAATAGTTGTTTAGATTGAATGAATGCAATAACATGAACATTGTAGAAAAAATTCTAAAGTTGTAGTCGGAAGAGTCAATTTTTGATGTAGTAGATAAGGCGAGGCGAGGCTCGGATGCCAGTGCAGTGTAAGGCGAGAGACAGCTTGGGGTGATGCTCGAGGCAGTATGGTTCCGTCGAATGCGCCACCAGTATCCATTCCGCCTTCTGTCACTCCTTTGAATAAGCCTTCGCCACAGAAAATCCGGCCAACTTTCTGATTTACAAGGATGACATGGGCTATTACAGTGGGTAGATTGCTTACAACACAAGTTATGACACTTATAATGGACTAATGATCTAAGTAAGTAATAATGGTACAACCCCTTGATATGAGACAATAGAGAGAGAAGAATTAGACGACGCAACCATCTTCGTCGCAGTTATCAAGTGCATTCTTCAGGTCTTCGACCAAATCTCCAGCCTTCTCCAGACCAATACTGACTCGGATCAAACCATCGTGAAGACCACCGGCCATTCGTTGTTCGCGGGAAATCATGGTGTGGGTCATGGAAGCAGGGTGTTCGCAGAGCGACTCGACTCCTCCCAAGGAGACGGCCAAGTTGATGACTCGAAGGTTCTCGCAAACGTTGCGGGCACGACGAAGGGCTTCGTCTCCTTCTCCGACGGTGATGAACGAGATCATACCTCCATACGTTTGGACGTATTCATCGTCGTCGCTGTCACGTCCTGATCGGAAGATGGCATCCGACAACTGACGGTCGGGATGAGAGTCCAATCCTGGGTAGAAGGTTTGTGCGACCATTGGATGCTCATCGAGCATTCGGGCAACCTTGATGGCGTTTTCTCCGTGACGTTGCATGCGAACATCAAGAGTCTTGAGGCCTCTGGCGAGGAGGAAGGAGTCCATTGGGTTCAATGGGACAGTGATGATCTTTTGGACCTTGGAGCATCCGTGCAAGAAGGGTTCCGATCGCGACGTGACGGATCCGGCAAGGATATCAGAGTGTCCTCCGAGGTACTTGGTGGCAGAATGGATGGAGACATCAATTCCTGGAACATCAAGTACCCTTTGGTGGTAAGGAGTGGCAAAAGTTCCATCGACCATGACGTATGGTCGTACTCTGTCATGTGGACTCGTACCAGGCTTGTCGTCAGCCTTTCCGTAGAACTCGTCGACAACACGACCAACACCTTCCAAATCGGTCAACCTCATTGTGGGATTTGCTGGAGTTTCAGTGTAAACCACTCGTGTGTTTTCCTTCAAGGCCTTTCGGTAGTTTTCTGGGCCCTGAGGTCCAGCTCCATCAACAAAGGTGACTTCGATGCCCCATTGATCAGCAAATTCAGTGAGGAATTCATAAGTTCCTCCATAAACAGTGTAAGGCGCAACTACGTGGTCCCCAGAACGAAGAACTGCTTGAAGAGCAGAGGTAATGGCAGACATACCAGAGTTGAACAAAAGGCACCTTCCAAGACCCTTCTCTGGGTCATCAACACCCTCTAAAGCAGCAATCTGAAGGGCAGCAGCTTCGTTCGTGGGAGATCCCCATCTGGAGTAGACAAAACCATCATCATCAGTGTAAGGAGCCTCGCGCTTTTCATGAAGTCTGGCTCCATGGGCGGCATCGTCCAACAAGAAAGTGGAACCAAAGTATACAGGTGGTGCAAGTCCACGCTCTGCGCCTACATTGGGGCTGTAAAGAGAAGCACATTTTGTAGCAAACGACTTTGGCTTGGAATGAGCGGGTGCTTCCTTTCGAAGTCCGACGGTGCTGGATGATTCTTCTTCAGAATCAGAAGCATTGCCGTTGAGTTGAGCTTGTGCTGCTGCCACTTCCTCGGGGGAAATTTCTTGGGCCACCCGCAGAGCAGAAGTCGGTCTGTGAACTGCAACAGGAGCCTGGAAGGCAGTGGCGACTCCCAAAACTAGAAAGCTTGGCAAAGACAACTTCATGATGTTTTGTTTCGTGTGGAATTTGTTGTGTGGAATTGGTTGTGTGTCGAGGGACAAGCTTCGGGCAAGTCCTTTCTTGAATGTGCTGGCAAAAACCGATTGTTCTTTTGGATGGGGGTTGACAATCCTTGAACTTGCACCTCCATCGGACAAAGTCTTGAGTGGCTCTGATTTGAAGGTGAATCTAAATGACGATTTGATTGGCTCTTTCCTGTCTTTGGTGTCTGACGTATTTCAATTTGCCAGGTTTTTGATGTCGAATCTGTGCCATCCAAAAAACGGACCGCGTACAGCCGGCTGAAGAAAAAGGAATTGAGTCATCCCCCAGAACTTCGAAACTTTACCAATCCCCAACATTCTATCGTAGATCAGAAGTGAGAAGTGTCAAGATACTATCGAATCATCACGCCCGCCTGCCTGTAGTTCCAAGCTGAAATTCTGAAAGAATATGACATATCTATGAAATAGATAATCAGAGTGTACATCGTCATCATCATCATCATTGGGTTACTCAAAATGGTGACTATTCCGCATCCAGATACCGAATCTCAATGTGTCCACAATGGTATAAGTTGTGACGAATGTGGTGTTTGCCCAATCGTTGGAACAAGGTTCAAATCAAGGCACATTTACGACTTTGATCTTTGTCGTGAGTGTGCGATTCTGAATCATCCCCAAGACAACAATGCCTTTGTTGCGTTCGAAGATCCTGTGTCAAGAGTACAAGCTTCTAAAGAAGGGCCTGGAGGAATAAACCGCATCTATGCTGGATCCGTAGAAGATGCGGAGCAGCAACTTCAGGAAGGAAAGAATGCGCACATTGCATTCTTTCGTTTCTACGGCAGGACTCCGTCGACTCAAGAATGTCAACAAGTCGTTGAATTTATCAACAAGAATGCCATTCTTACAAACATCAATATCTGTCTATTTTGCTTTCAAAACGCTGAGCAGGCATTTGCCTCTATTGCGCAAGGGTTGGCAACCAACAAACATGTCAAGCATCTAAGTCTAAGGCTCATGCCCCTGTGGAATCAAGAATCTTTCTTTGACACTTCATCCGTTCAGCATTTAATTGAAACAAACAAAGTTTTGGAGACTCTATTTATCGGCCATGCCTGGCTCAGAGATTTTGATGACACTGGTTCCTACTACGAAAGCGAAGACAAGTTTGCTTATCATATTTTCGATTCCTTGAAGCGGAATAGGACTCTCAAGACATTCCGGCTAGAAACAATATCTCATCTTTCAGCAGCAACGCAAGAGTCTGCTTGTCAAGCAGCTGCCACCAATCCTGGGTTGATTCGTTTGTTTGCTAAATTTGATGGTTCGGATCACGGTATTCACATGCTGACGAACTTCAACCGATACAGATGGATGAAGCGATGGACGGATCTCAATGCCAAGCCAGAAGAGCGAATGAAGGTTATGGAAGAAATCATGAAGTCAACCTCTATTGATATCCCAGCATTGTATCATTTGTTTCGGAGCTATCCTCAAGCTCTCAATAATCTATAAATTTCTCAATTTTGTTATGTCTCGGCAAATGAAGAATCAATCAATCACGATATGAACATGAGCTCTAAATCAGTCAGACAGAAAATGCACTGTATTTTGGAGTCTTCGAGTTACATCAACGGTATAGTTTAGTTGGAAGGATTTGCGTAGCGGACACAAAATGCATTGCAAAGGCTAGATTGTTCGAGGAAGTCGAATCTGAGAATTCCATAGAACTCACTGACGGATCAAGTGACCTCGGAAACGAGTCAGCTCACAATTTTCAAAATCAACTCGACAACAAAAACTCTAGCAAACTACAATCCAATACGATTTTTGCAACTCCATTTCCCTATGGTTACGATAGTGAGCCACAATACTATCGACCGGCTTACCAACAGGCTTCACCCTCTGTCTGCAATCAGAGAACAAAATACCTCCAACAGTTGAGAGCTGTCGAAGAGGCAAAGCGCCGCGTGGAAGCAGAACGATACCAACGCATGCAGACAGCTCGACAAGACTATATCAGTCGCTTACAAGAAGAAGAGATTTCCTGTCAGACATACGAGTCCGCCAAACGACAAAGAGAAATGGAAGAAGCCAAACAAGAAGTCCACCAATACTTGTATGCTGGTGATACTACTCCTGGTGGGCACGCCGAAGAATCAAAAGCGGAGGAAGAAACTGACACAGAGCCAGTCTTTCGCGTAATGCAAGGCTTCGATGGAACATTTTACAAAGTCGAAGTGGGGGAAAATAGTCTTCGTCAACGCAAACCTCGACGAAGGAGCAGTCAAACCCCATCCCGACCAACACGAAAATCAGAAGATACTTACCAACTGATACGTGGTCATGATGGAAACATTTACCGAGTCAAGCTTCGACAACAACCAAAGAAGAAGGAAATGAGACCAAGACTGGCCAGATCAATACCGACTCGTGAAGGCATTAAACATCGCACCAGAGCCTCCTCGTTATCATCATCCTTTGAAGAGTCATCCTCACCAATCGCTGACGAGGATGTCTTTGTCAATGATAATTCCAATTCGCAAATCAATATCGAACCACCGAGATAGATCGACGACTGACAAGGACAAGATAAATAACAAAGTCGCGGTGTTGGTAGTCGAGGATGCTTCCGATAGCGAGTCGGATGATGATGACCACAAGTCCGTGTGGCGAAGACATCGTCGCCCATCTCAAGGGCAGTAAATGGAACCAGTTCAAAGTTCGTCATAGAATAATTCGGACCAGGTGTAAATTAGAAGAAGGAAAAAAAATCACTGCCAATTTGTAAACTATCCCATCAAATTGTTCATATCCGGTAGGTACCGGTAGAACGAACATTACCTGAAAATTATGCATTGACATGTAATACCAGTACTGCAGAAACTGCTTTGTGTTATTTGGAGAAATGGAGAGATTCGGTCTCACAAACGCGACTGATAATAAAGAGTAGTTGGTTCCGGTACTATGGTAGTAACACGGGACGCGACTGATATATGTGAGCAGACATGAGTTGAATGCAGTCATAGCAAGACTAGAGCAAAATTAGAGTTTTGATCACCACTTCTGTGTTGCTTGTCCATCGTTGTTGCCAAGTTTTTGCAGGAAGGAATCAACATTTCCATTGACCCAGTAACTTATAGAAAGGTGTAGGAGAAAGCGATCTAGTCCTGAAAGTCACTTGTCAAAGAAGGTCCTAACCAGTCAAAACATGAAACGCCGCTCTGCTATTGCCGTTATCGCGGCTGTTGCTATTCTTGCTTTGATCATCGGACTATCCATTCATTTCTCCCAAAACGGCGATTCCGAAGATATACCATACTCCCTTTGCTATTTTGATGAGGCAAGTCGGACCTACAAAGGTGTCGATGCTGATTCCGCTTTCCACGACACAGCTAGCCCCTGTGTCGGAGATCGGTTTGTGGATACGTCGGTGTTTACGAACCTTGACGATCTTGAAGGGGTCGACGAAGAGGAGACTTACTCATCTAACTATTTCGTCAGCTTCCTGAAGGCTGGAATTGTCGGTCTTGCTGCATCAGAGGATATCATCAAGAATGTCACTTGCATCGATGACGCAATCGAAATTGTATTTTCCATGCCGGTCGATTCTGAACGCATCCAATCCATGTTCCCAGAATCCTCTGTCATGGCCGTGGATGGGATTGTATTTGGCAATTGCAGCACAGTCACTGAAGATAATTCATTGGGGACGCCAACCATGCCAAGTGGTTTCCTATTGGTCCACAGCGCAAACCTTACAAACATTGATACAGTGAAGGTTCTCGGAGAAGGGGTATCAATCAACTATCTCTTCCAAGAACGAAATATTGTCTATGAACCATATGGTATCACTGAAGGTGGGGAAAGAAGAAAACTGAAAAAGCAGAGCAAACTAGATAAGTTTTTGAGGAATTTTGCAGTCCTAGGAGTGACCTTCTCTCTAGAAGTTGATCCAACGGTGGTATTTGAAGCCAAAGTCTTAAAAGACTATTGGCAGCTGCTTGGGGAAAAGTGGTACGAGTACGATCCATATATCGACTTTGAGCTGCGTGTCCAGTACGAACTAGGCTTGAAGCTTCGCGCGAAGGCTAGTGTGGCTGCAGGAGTACAACTTCAAGACGGCGTAGAAATCCCCATGGTTGGATTCATACCGATTCCTTCTTTTGGTTTCAAGCTACCTCGGTTAGTAGCAAAGATTCTTAAAAAATGGCTTCCCAAGCAAGAGATTTCACGATCCCTCGGCCTTGGATTTGAAATGCCATTTTCTGCCTCCGTTGCGTACAGTGCTGAAGTCGGTGCATCTGTATCATCTGGACTAGATCTCAGTTCTGGAGAAAAGATCTACAGATGGGCATTGAAGGGCAAGCCGCCATTTATTAGTCCAACTTTTGAGACAGTATCCAATGTTCAGGCATCTGCAACACAGATAACGCCTGTATATGAAAAACGTGACGGCAAATTTCAAATGTCGGTGAAAGTAGGAGGGAAGCCTTCTATGATACTTGACGTCTTTGGTAAGTTGAGCTTTGTACTGTTGGAAATTGTTCGCACGAAGATACATACAGT